CTCATTCTTTGGGCATTATGTCCTCAGGGACCGACTCGATGAACCTCCTTCCCGGACAGAAACTTTCTCCACCCCTCGTCGCCGCTTGACACTCTACACCTGGAACATTGAAAACCTCGTTGGGATTCGCAAATATGAACAATTACAATCTCTCATCGCCTCCCTCCCTCTTGGCATCTATTCCCCCCAAGAAACCAAGTCTACTCACACTGATCTCCTGATCTCCTGAAATGCCTTAAAGTCCATTACCTTCTCCGTGGACAACCCACCGACCGCCACGCCGGGGTCGGCTTTGCCGTCCCTAATTACTCCCCTCCTCCCCCTCATCTATGATTTTCATCGATGGAACTCCCGCCTTGCTGTCCTCATCCCCAATACCCGCCCATACAAATTATCTGTTTTCTCAATTTATGCTCCCAGTCAGTCAACTCCAAGATCTTTCCCTCGACCAATCACACAAGACTCCTGTTGGAACCAACTCCACTCTCTTTACTCACACCACTCTTCCTGCTAGATCCTAATTCTTTTCGGAGGCTTCAGCACACGTCTCTTTTTTAAACTTTGCAACTGGCCTCCCAGACCACATCGGTACAATTATTTCCGCTCTTGATTTTTTTGAAGATCATTACCCTCACACCAACTGATCACATCTTATTGAATGTCTCATTTCCAATGACCTCGCACTCGTCTCTTCTAGGAAACCTCGCCCGCCCAACCAACTAACCACTTGCGCCGAAATTGTCCCCGATCCTCCTCCTTCATCCTCTCCCACTCTCGACTCACGCGCTGTTCTCGACCACGTCATCTGCAAAACTGAGCACAACCCCCTTTGCCGCTCTGCCCGCTCCCTCCCAGACATTCATCTACCATGGCATCATCGCCGTTTTCTCCTTTCCGCTAACCTCCAGCTCCAGCGATTTGCCCACGCTCAACCATCCCGTCCACCTATTAAAAAGGCTTCAGCCAACCAGAACGCAAAATTGGTTATCGACACAATATCATGCGCCATTTCAATCTCCTTTTCACCCCTCCACTACTTCTCCTCCTTTGAACATCTTCACTGATGGCTCCTGTCCAGACCAGTGAAACGTCTCTTACGCTAACCCTGCCGGTTGAGGGATATACTTCCAAGAGCTCGACCTAGGTTTTCTCGGCCACGTCGGCATTCCCCATTCCTGACCAAAGGCTCCAACAACACTGCCGAACTCCAGGCCCTCTTGGAGGCCACTTCCTATCTCCTAGATTTAAAGCCCTTTGGTATCGCTTTGCATCTTGGCTCGCTCGCTTCACTCCTCCTCGATTACTTGGCTCATCTTTGCTCCCTTTCTCACGTCTCTCTTCACAAGGTCAAATCCCATACAAGCATACCGGGAAACGAAAAAAGCAATTCCAACGCCTCTCGCGGCGCAACTTCTCTCTCTCTTGTTGGTCGCTTCTCCTCTTTCGCCCGCTGCCCCCACCCCTCCCTTCTCCACCTTCTACTTCTGGTAATCCGGATCAAGCCACCATCTCATTTACCAACAATATCTCCCAAATCTCAAGTCGCCAAAAAATTCTCACACCTGGTACTCTCCAACTAGCCCAGGAATTGCAATCTTCTCCCCCGAAGGATCACAAGTTCCTCTGCAACCGAGCTGAACACTCCGCTCGAAAAGATTAAAAAAACTTGGATTCTTTCACGCATCACAGCTGACCACCACTCCACATCTGCAGCCGAGCACAGGAAGACCCTAAAAAGAGTCCGATCCAAATCCCTCCCTCGCAATCAACCCGTCAATTATCCTGACGGCGCTACAAGTCCTAAAACCCAAAAGGCCCACCCTTTTGGCACAACATCTTCGCGACAAGGTATGATCGCATGTTGATACTCCCGGGCCTTTTTCTGACCCCCTCGCTCCGCCACACTTGGAATTAGACGCTCCTTTTATTTTCACTGACATGCATTATGCATTCCGCAAATCTCGCTCAAGGAGAGCCCCTGGCCCCGACAACCTCCCCATGGAGGTCATCCGTTTGCTCCCTCATCCCCTTAAAAAACCACTCCTTTCCCACTAGCCACAACAAAAAAAAACAGTCGCTCCCCATCCAGCCATCGCCCAATCTCTCTCGCTTACTCCATCTACAAGATTTTTGCTTATATGCTCCAAATCAACCTTTCTAGAGCCCTTGGCTCCCATCTTCTTGGCTCCCATCTTCAACCACAACAATACCACTCTTTCTCGTCCGCCGGCTTATGAGATTTTCGAAAGCCGCTCCACCTCTCTTTACGTTCTTCTCTTGGATTGGTACGCAGCACTCAACAGCGCCCTTCTACGATATGTGGAGCCCCTCCACATTGTACATCCGCCATCATGGCCCTATACTCCAATGGTCTCTTCTTTGTCTCAGAACCAACCAATCAACCTCCTACTTTCTCCTTACGCGGGGTGCCTGTGACAATGCTGCCCACTTAGCCCATGCCTCTTCATCATTGTTCTCGCTGCCCGTACTGCAGATCTCCACTCCTCTTTTGAAACTCTTTTCGATTACGTCCGTTGGACTTACTCCCCCAACCATCCTTTCACAGATCTAGAATTTGCGGATGATACAATCCTCATGGCTCGTACCCCAGAAACCCTCCACCGAATTCTACATGTACAGCAGCACCTCGGAATGCGCATGATCTCCTTTTTAACGGAGCAAAATGTCAACTCCTTGCTATTCACGCCTCTCTCCCCATCTCTCTCTATCTCTCTCTATCTCTCTCTCTTCTCTTCTCTTCTCTCTCTCTCTCTCTCTCTATCTCTCTTTCTATCTCTACCTCTCTTACACCTCATCAACCATGCTCCTGTCCGCACCGCGCACCCGCTTACGGCCTCCACCCAGATCCCCGCTCTTTGGGGGAACCGATCTCCTGCCGCATGCCTCTGCTTTTTAATACCTAGGTTCCTACCTGGCTCCTACATCATCTTCAGTACCTGACGTCTTATATCGCTGCTCACAAGCCTAATTATTGCTTTTAAACAACTTGAACCCTTCTTCCGCAACTCCCTTATCTTTCCCAAAAAGAAATTCCAAATATACCCCCACATAGTCCAAGCCATCCTCCTTCATGGCAGCAACTCACAAATCTTCTCTCCTAACTCTTCCGTCACTCGTCCCCACCTCAACTCGCATCTCCTACTCCCGTGTAAAATACCTCGGTCACATACTTCACCACCCTGCACCCCCAGAACATTCTATTATGTTTCATTCTTCCGGCTCCCTGCGCACTATATCTTCTCCCTTCCGTTGTGGCGCCCCTCGGGCTCACTGGTCTGAGCTTGCCTTACAGTAACAGAAGCTCAGAACAAGGTTCTCCTTCACCGTCAATCACCTCCCTCTCAGGGTCAAATTACCCATCCCTTCTACTCCCTCTGTAGCATTTCTGAACTCAAACAGCTCCGAAGTGCCAGCATGACACAATGGTACCACACCACCTCACGACTCAGATTGCTTACTCCATTGGCACATGATCGGGATATCTGAAAATTCCTTGTCCCCAAAATGGAATAATCAATAGCTGGGTGCTTTCCCTGCTGTCATGCTGAATCCATCTAGTGGACCTGCATTGCGCTGAGAAAAAACATCGCCCACGTTTCAACCTAGCGAGGCTTGACATATGTAGAGATCATGGCCCGAGGCTTGACATATATAAAGATCCTGGCCCACATTTAAACGGGGATTGACATCTGTAGAAACCGTGGCCCACGTTTCAACCTAGCGGGGCTTGACATATGTGGAAACATTAGCCCACGTTTCAACAGAGCGGGGTTTGACATATATGTCGCGACCATGGCCCACGTTTCAACCTTTGGGGTTTGACATATGTAGAGGCCATGGCCCGTGTTTCAACCGAGCGGGGTTTGACAGACGTAGAAACCATGGCCCACGTTTCAACCTAGCGGGGTTTCACATATGTAGAGACCATGGCCCACGTTTCAACCTAGCGGGGCTTGACGTATGGAGAGACAATGGCCCACGTTTCAACTTAGCGGGGGCTCACGCGGGTTGACATATGTAGAGACCATGGTCCACGTTTCAACAGGGCGGGGCTTGACAATATGTAGAGGCCATGGCCCACGTTTCAACAGAGCGAGGCTTGACAATCTGTAGAGACCATGGCCCACGTTTCAACCTAGCAGGGTTTGACATATGTAGAAACCACTTTGTTACCACGGTAGGCCATGGATCCACAAAAAACCTTTGGCGGGCGATGTCACCACGATGGGCATCTTGTTCGAGTCAAAACAGGGTTGGGGCCCCGCAAGAGAAACCCTAAGCATCGCCAAGTAAAGAAACCCTCACTGAGTTCCTGCAACTGCTCTGCGGCAATTTTTTGGGCGCTCTCTGACCCGAAGGACCCAGCCGGTCTCCCGGGGACTTTGCGTTTCAATGGACACCTTCGGGTTGCTGGAATTGATAAGGTTTTACGGTTTTAAGGTTTTATCCTGGAACAATTCTTGAAATCTTTCGCTGAAGCGGCAAATCTTTGCAGAACCAAGTGCCAATCTCTGCGGATATCACTCTCAACTCTTGCAACAAAAATAGGAAAACTACAGCCTCCTGGCTAATTTCGAGGTCAGCACCACAGCAAAACATCAATTTCATGGTGATCACTGATGTCGGCGAGTCGGAGCCGACCTGTGCATCGAATTTCAATTATGCAGAAGCTTCTGCTGCACTTCTGGCAGCGCTCAAAATTGGCGGTCTTGAGGATATTTCACTGCACTTCTGGCATAGCTTGTGACTGGAAAAAATACAAATGCCTGGTCATGAAAAAGGGTGCTGGAAGGGCGAAATCAAGCTCGAGAGATAGTGACTCAAGTGGGGTCATCCATTGGTGACATGTGATATACTTAATAGACCATTAATAAAGTGCATCAATTGGTTCTGGATATCTTTGATCTTCTCGATAGGCTAAAGCACATGCACTGAAGAGCACCGCTTCTGTCTCCGTTTCTTCAAAGCCTGGCAAAACTTCACAGGGAGGAGATGAGTTCGGCAGGGCTGGCCTCACGAGGAAGGCCAGTTGGCTTCGCTTGCAAATATCCACAGCCGTTGCCGATGTTCTGTCACCGACTCGTGCGATATGTTGCGATGTTACATGATGTTACAATGTCGAAAACTTCAACCGAAAAAAGACGACTCACAGACCCTTTCGCCTCACCATCGTAGAGAAATCCGCTTGCCGCTGTCTGGTAGCCTCGGCAATCTCTACCTCAGGATCAATTTTCCCAGACAACTCGCTTCAGTTGAACGTACAAAATTGACCAAACAAATCCAAATGAAGTTACTAGCAACATGCTGTGACTTGTGAATTTGCAATGAAGCAACGGGCCTTGCGGCAACAAGTTACATTTCCAGTCAGTTGAATTTCTTTACTAGGGGCGCCGATCTTTCTTCCTGACCTTCTTGCTCTGTGCGGTGTCCAGCAACCTTGGCATCCAATAGAGCCTTCTGGAAAGAAGTCCACTGAGTACAAACTGAATGTTGTTCACAGATTGTAAATAAAACGCAGCATCACGCAACATGCTGCACCCATGGTGTCGAGTGGTCACCTGATGTCTTCAGTGCTGGCCACCAGATGCATCATGGGGGTCAAATTTCGGTTGACCAATTTCTGACATTTTCCCTCATTTTTTCCCTCATTTTTCCCCTCGTTCTAACATGTTTCAAGTGTAGGGTCAGAATGAACGCTAAAATAACTTGTCAAACAGCATCAGAATCATTGCATTTGTACAACGTCTCCGCCTAGAGCGCGTTGAAACGGTTTCCATTTGCATTGCATCTTCAACAACTCAAACGGACACTTTGCGAGGCAAGGAACTCCCGACATGTCTGTCGCACGACTGATCCTACCCATGTGATCATGACATCCGTCACGTGCATATCGACGTGATCGAAGCCAACCGTCTCCTTTCCAGGTGGGTTGAAGCGAAGCAGCGTTGAACATTGAGCCTACTGCACCAGCACCTCCCAGGACTACCTCAGGTCATTGTCTCACTGTGCACCTAGCTGCTACTGTGGTCATTGAAGACCCTCTATACCACAACACTAGAGGGCCTACATGGCGTGGACCTATGCGAAACATGTCTTCGGTGAAGAATTAAGATTAGAAAGGTCGACTCCACCGTGTGGTCAAAGTGAAGTGGAAAAATCTGAAACATGTGCTGCTCCAGGTTCCTATGAAATGAAGGTGTCAAAATCCTTGAATTGTACAACAAATTCTGGATCTTAATCACATGAAACATACGGCAGATTCTGGATCACACAAAGCCCACCACAACCCTGCACAGCTGCCCCAAATTCCAACAGTTCGGAGGCTCAACAGATATGCGTGCATTCAATGGTTCTTTGTGTTTTGGATCTATATCTCAATAACACTCAAAAGGCCCGACCACCCCAAAAACTCCAACCACTCTTTCCCTCCTGAAGCCACCGCCGGCTGGTAAAGCCGAATCAACCACACCCCCTTTGGAGCAAGGAATGGTATTACTGCCGTCGCATCTGTTCAGCATCCCTGCGACCGGCAAACATCCGCTACCGGTACGACTTTTTCCGGGCAGCAGCATCGGCGCTAAGCTTCTTGGCTACAGCTGAATCCTTCGGCGCCCTACTCCCCTCCGCCATCACCTGCAGCAATCGCACGTTGCTGTTCAGCTTGGTAAGATCATCTGCAGGGATCTCTTCACAGGGCGCCCATCTGACCAATCTAGGGCCCCATCCTCCTCAAGAGCCTGGCGCATGGCTGCGATGTCAATCGCAAGGCGCTTGTCTTCTCCAAGCGCCGCGCCATTCAGTAGATCAAATCCCGTCCGGGCCAAGATGGCCTTCCATCGGGCCACCATAGTCATCCATGCCTTCACGGTGAAGTCGGCATATATCATCTCCACCAAGAACGCTCTGATGTAGTGTGCTGCCTGAGGTCTCAGCAGCCAGCTGGACCTGACCACTCGCTTGATGGTAGGTGATGACGGTCAACCTGTCAGGGCCTTCCAACACCCCTGGATTTGCGAAGGCCAACACCATACCACCTGGAGATCGTCCACGAGGCATCCCAGCAAATGATGCATCTGAAACGCCAATCACCACCATGTCGTCCAAGTCGCATCCGATCAAAACGAACTTCACTGTGACCGGGCTGCGAGCTCTTTCCACCAGCACCTTCAGCTCCACCAAACGGATCATCCACTCCACAGAGCTACTCTCCACACCCCGAACCTCAAGTCAGCACGACATTGTTGGCCATTCCTTCTGATTGGGTCTGGTTAGGGCCTCTCTGAGTTGGATCCTTCAGCTTCTACGCATAGGCGTCCTGTTGCACCAACACTAGGCCGTCAGGCATTTGCCGCTCATACCTTCCACAGAATTTGGCCCAATCCTTTGGATGTTGCCATTCAATGAAATTGAACAAAGAGCCCAACCTGGCCCGGATCATTTCCTGGTACTCCGGGGCAGCAATGAGGCGCACATCCTCCACACGCACCGCCAAAATAGCCACCAATGTGAAACCCCCCAGAGAAGGAGAAAAACCCAGGACAAAGCTTCATCTCCCTGCCACCAATGGACTCAGCGCCCCGCTTGAACCTCTTCAACCAGAATCGAAGTGATTCAGCCAGGCCGAATCCCGCCTTCTTCATCCGAAAGACATCAGTCCTGGCACCTCGAGGAAACGGATCCATCGAAAACTTCCTCGCGAACCAGGGATAGTTCTTGGGGCATTGGATGAAGATTCTTCGATCTTTGGGCAAGTAGTCGCCTCGCAAGAAGACCACAGAGATGTCGGCAAAGTACATTGCACCACCAGGAAACACAACACGTTGCGCGCCAAAAGAGAGGCCGTAGGTGCTTCAGTTTCGAATTCCCCGGCCTTTTGGTCCTTGTGACTGGCAATCACCAAGCGAGCTTTGAGCTTGGCGTTGCGGAGGTCAGCATCAGTTGGATGGACATTGCGGGGATCGGTCTTGTTCACCAAGACAAAACGAGAAGGCAAAGTCTCGGAAGCCTCCACCACTTCGTCTGGCGTCACTGGTTGAAGAGCATCATGATGAAAATAGATGCGAAGCGCCTCCAAAATCGGAGCTTCAAAGGCTTGCTGCCATTTGTGCGAAAGGTCCTGCCAAATTGGAGTCTGACCTTTTCCGTCTCCGGCTTGGAGACAATCTCCTCAGGCAAGTGGGTGAATTCGGTGATGCCTCGGCGCAAAGGATGGACGATAGGAGACGCAATCTCGGTGACATTCACAAAAGTCCCAAAGACCTCCTGGAGTTTTTGTTGTGTTTTCATTAACGCATCACGAGCTTCACCCACTTCTCGAAAAGCACATCTTGAACTTCTTCCATTTCGGGTGGACCCAAGTATTGAGTCACCGCAATGTCATTCGGCCAGCCAGCAGCATCTTGAACTCCCAAAAGGACTGAACCAACCACTGGCCTGAACGCCATGCATCTTCCACAAAGCGTCGAGCTTCCAACCGCTTGACCACATGAGATTCAAACTCGTAAGGATCTTGAAGCTCAAAGCGGACGACTCTATGCCATGGTCCACCCAAATGCTGTTGTGTGTTCCTGCCCGACCAGCGCACACTCACGATGAACTCGTGAAAACGACTCCTTGAACCAGTATATAGGATCCATGAGCTCGGCGGACAGACCTATCGGCGCACGTTGAGGCCTGTTGGGGTTGAAGAGGTAGTAGACCTGAGTGGCCCGGATCCCGGCCAACCATTGGCAAAACTCCTGCCATAGCTCGTTGGATTGTGAAATTTGCATTGTGAAGCATGTGAATCATCGGAGGCGGAGCCATCATTCTGGTAGATGGAGTTGGTGGACACTGGCGCTCATAATATCTTCCTTCGGCAATATATGTCGCTAGCTCTTCTCACAAGACTGACTGGCCAATCCCGGGGCGTTCCCCCAAAGGCGCCACCTGCAGATCTTCAATGGAGCGGCGCTGCAGATGCTGCAGGACATCATTGCCCAACGAATTGGCCAACGCTGACATCAAACTTGCATCTGAGTCTGAGAAGTCCGCCTGGTTGTAGAAGCGCTCCACATTGACGAATAGTTCCTCTCAAAGAGCAACCGAATCGGTCACCATCGCAGACACCCTCTGCGTAGTTGTCCTCTGCGTTGGCATAGCCAATTGAACCGGTTTCGGTTGTAACTTCTCTTTCATGGACTTCAGATGTTTCTGGGTACGCTTCATGGCCGCATCGACGTGGGATCTCCGTTCTTGGAACGGTCGAAGCGCCGGATTATCATCAGCCGCGCGCTTCCGGCTTGAAGAAGCAGGTCCAGACTGCCCCTTCTTCCCTTGAAGAGCAGCACATCGTCCAAGGGCGAAGCTGCACTCCTCAGCTGTGATCCATCGAGATGGAACTTTTCCAGGATCTTCTTCATCACTGAATTCCTATGCTCTGGATCAACCGTCGCCTTTTGTGGTTTCTTCCCCTTAGTCTGGCGAGGCTTCTTCAAGACTTCCTTGGCAGGAGCATCAGCAGGATGACGAAGATGACGATGATGACGATGAGTCCACCTCCGCGTTGACCCTGCCCGACGACATTTGTTTTTCCAAGTCCTTCAAAGCTCTGGCTGAAACGGCAGAAGCTTCTTGCTCTTCAGCAACCGCCAGTCGGACGAACTCCAAAGGTACGCCCTTCAAGTTGTTCTGGTATCTGATCCAAACCTTCTTGATGGCCCCCTCTTTGCGTTCGATAGCAGCCACAACTGCCGGACCTAGCCAAGATATCTGATCTTGTAATCTTCGGGCAAGGCCACGACGGTGTGAAGGAGGTTCCCAAAACATCACCTGGGCACCCTCCGCCACAGCTCTAATCGAGGAAGTCTCGCTCTGGATCCAGGTTTTTTCTTCAAGGCTTCCGTGGTCCTTGCCAAACACCAATTGCACCGGCGAAAAACCAGCCACTCTGGATTGATTGTTCCTGGCAGCAGTCACTGCCACCACCGCCGATTGTAGAGCTTCTTCCAAGCCTCTTTGATGACCTTCATCAAGAAGACTTTCAGAACCGCTCCATGGCGTTCAGCCCGCGACATTCTCCAATGGGCAGTCAGAGGAACCATGACATGGAACACTGCAAACGAGTGGAGTAGGGCTTCCAATTGTCCTCGAAATTCTGATCCCTGATCCGTCATCAGAACATTCGGAGGACCCAACGGTCCCGAATCATCACCACGGTCGCCTCCGCATCGGGATTCTTGCGAGCCACCGCGATCTGGTAGAGGGCGAAGGCATCCAACAGGTGAGCCACAACAAACTTCTCACCCGACTCATCCCAAACAAAGAAGGGGTCGGCCACCACCCGGTCGTTGATTGAAATGAGTCGATGAAAGGCCGCTATGGGAGCGGCCTGTGGAGGTGCCACCTGTTTGCAAATTTGGCGCTCCAAACGCGACACAATGTTCAGCTTGGCCCCATTCAAGGACAACATCCGTTTAAGCTTCTCATTTGTCACATGCCCTATGGCCACATGCAAGCGTGAATGGACTTGTTCACCGTCGCCGCATTGTCAGAGAAGCTGATGTAGTCATACCGGGCTGACGGGGTTGTCCGTCAGGGGTGGCCTCCACCTCCACTGGAACAGCCTCCCAAATCCGGCTGTCAAGTACTTGAGCATGTAGCGCCAAGTTGACGTCAATGGAGGATTCCAACGTAGCTGCCTCCAGCCCCATCAATATCCATCTACAAAACTGAGGCGTCCACATTGCTGCCAAGTCGGTCGATGGATGGCCACATCTCTTTGCTTCGTTCGGTCCCACAATGACACCGTCCCCTCGATCGGTTGATGTTCTCCCGGTTGATGGTTGCACCTCATCTCGGGAAATCAAGGCGATACGATCATCGGGCGGTTCATCTGAATCGCTGTCGGCTTCTTGCGGGGCTTGCTAAACACGTGATCAACTAATCCCAGACGGCACATGTGGATGTCCTCCTGGTAGACATTCTCCCGGCGGCTCATCATTGGCTGCTTCACGGCATCAGACCGGCTAGGTTGTTCCAACAAGACCAAGCCGCCTGTCTGATTCTAATGAGCCAACACGCAACACACAAACTCCCAAAACTGTTTGCGTTCATTCCTCAGTGCGTGAAGCACATCCTTCCTTTTTCTCGCGCTGCCAAGAACTCCATGGACCACGCGGCACTGACAACGTCACCACATCAGGGCGGCGCTTCTTGATGACGTCCTTCAGCAAGTCCTGGCGCTCCACCTTCCTTAGGTCCAGACCATAAAGCACATCGTGCGGAGGTGGCTCATTCCATTTCCCCACGCGACGAACCAGATCTGACAAAGCCACGCGACCTGCGAAGATCGCTATCAACGTCCAAGGTCCGGGTTTCGCCTGCGCTACCTTGCACATCCGTTGATGTACCCCCCGAGCTCTTTGTATACTCCTTGTCGAATGCTGCGTGTCTGCATCCAGTTCAAAGCCATCTTTCTGCAGTTTGAATGATCCGAACCCGCAGCAGCAGCATGCAGCACCGCTCGAAGAGGCCGCCGTCGATGACCTGGGCTCCTTCTGTGACTTCGATGGCTGCGCGGACGCCTGCAGAGTCATCGGAGGGGCCGATATCATCTGCATCATCTGGCGCTGCATCTGTTCCATCTGCTCTTGCATCATCGCCACCGCGTTCTGCATCTCCACGTTGGTTCTGGAAGGTCTCGTTGGTGACAGGCTGGACTTCTTCTTGGCGAAGGATGTTGCTCTCTTCGGACGCCGTATCGGCATTCGGTTCGTCCTGGCACTCGATCCCTCCGTGCCCGGGCTCACCACCAGGACCGGAGAAGTGTCCGGCTCTTCGTCGCTCATCTCCTCGGTGAAATCGTTCTCGATGTCAAAGCCTCCCACACCGCACGGTCGGTCATCACGAGCACCAACGGGTACGAGCTGTCACGGGGGCTGGAAGTCGAGGATGCGGGTCGAGGCATGCCTTGCCTTGAACCCAAAACTGTAAGAGGCAGACCTTCTGCATGCGGCTTCATGTGAAAATCGAAAGGAACTTGTTGAGAAGGCTGCTCCATGTCAAGCAAATAGCGTCCTCCCCGCGATTGCCCTAATCCATATGAACGAACTGCATGTGTCCTTGAAGTAAGAGCGTGAGTCTCAGTACCAACTGTCAATCCCAAGGAAGCGCACACAGGTTTGGAGAGCAAAGGGTGGCAGTCACCACTGAAATTCGAAGTAAAGATGGGACGGTGGCCAAGTTGACATGGATGATGATTGCAAACCTGCTGCGATTGACATGTCCATCTCCAAACCTAAAGGACTCCTTCTCGGGTACGACCTTCACATAACAACTATTCGACTTCCATTGGTGCACAATCGAGTTGACCCAAGTTGTACCCGCCACCGTCTTCATACAACCCAAATCGAATATGGTCTTGTCCCCAAGTTCAGCCATCGACCACAACACCTCTGTACACAAATCGTTCGGATAATCGGGGACCTCTACCATACATCCTGACATAGGTTTGATTCATCCGCTGCCCCAACCACCAGCAAACGCGCCTTTGTAGAGCGTGCGCTCAAGGCTTGAGTGAAGAAAACAGTGGAGGAATGTCAATTTCTGACTTTCCTTTTCATGGCTTAAAATCCGTGGGCTTGAAACCAAATGAAAATCCCACATCCACGTAGAGCCCCTATCCAGCTTTAGAAACTGAACTTACAAGAGCAAGGCAATCTGTTCACAGAGAGCAGTGGGGTAAGGCTGCGCGCGAAAGGTAAAAAACACCCCATGCTCATCTTTCCCTTGCAAAATTATATGAGGCCTACCGGTGGCGGAGCAGCGGTTATTGTTGGCATTACAAACCTTCACTGCAGAATTCAACTCGTCAAATCGTGAGCGCAACAAACCAGTAGCTTTCCGCCAGGGTTGTTTGAACTGGCAGTAGTCCGTCTTCAGCAGATGAGCATCGGCCAAGAGCTGCACTGAAGGCGCTAACCACAAGCGACTAGTCCAGGGGTTTTCCAAAACCCAGCGAATACCAAGTTGGTTGCAAAACGAAATGATCTTCAGAGTGACTTCCAGTAGTTGGTTTCCCAAAGTGACCTTGTGTCTATCATGTGCACTAAGATGAGGTGGTAGCCCAAACAAAACATCATGGTCATCACGAACAGGAGGGGGACCACCGCCGAGTTTCCGAGCCCTTGACCAACTAGTGCAAGGTGCGCCAAGCCAAACCAGAGCAATGCGGTGAGTCCACAAGAATTTGAAGGCCCATTCCAGCACTGTAAGCAAATCATTGCCCGGCCCATATAGAATGTCATATGCCAAAATATGGAAACCCTCTGCTGCACATGCTTTGCTAAGATTAGCACAACCGGAGAAAAACTCAACCTCCCACCAAATTTGAAAAAAGGCAGTCTTCATTGGGGTGAACACCTTAGGACCAGCTTCTCTAGCTTTGAAACCGCTTCCAGTCCTTGTTGCTGCACCTCACCAGCGGAGGCAACTGTTGAAACTGCTGGTGAAGTCTGGCGTGGCACTCGTACCGACGCACTGAAGAGTCCGCCAGCCAGCGCCCCCTCATCTTGACCGCCAAGGCGCTGCGTAGCCCGTGAAGTCGGTCGTGAGAAGGACCGCTGTGCCTCAGTTGGTACAACGTGGAGTGGTTTCTTGGAAGATTGATGCTGGCCAATGCATTCTCCCACCCTCTTCTGCAAGTGGGATCGTCCAAGTTGAACAGGTAGTCTGATCCCCTTTTTCGACTGAACTTTTTGATGGTGTGGTTGAGCCATGGCATGACTGGCGAGTCCAGGAGGGGAGATTCGTTTGAAAGTCCCATCTTTGAAATTTCCATTCGTTCTTCGCAATGTGTGGATGCACTTTTGTGGGCCCCACTACATCGTTTCCCCTCAGTCCTAACACTTCTGAAGGTCTCAGGTATGCAGTGAAGCTGAGAAGTGTTGCCAATGCTGATTTGGCAACAGCTTTACCACTATCAACGCCACCAGAGCAAAAGGCCTTGGGGGTCGTGTCTTTGCTGGGTCCACCTTGGACCACCCCTGCAGACTTCTCCTGGATCTTGGCAACTCTGCTTTGCTGCCAAGGTCGGGACGACAATCCATCAGGGCCGCAAACGCTTTGAAGCCTTCTGACAGTCTAACTTGGCTATAGGACTCAGCGGCAACTGCTGTGTGGCTGCAAACTGGAAGAAAGCTGAGGTCCGGTTCACACAGTCCTGTCCCACTTCTCGACTCACTGCCATCTGTAATGTCGGTCTGGGAAACGCGGCAGGGACTAAAAGCTGCTCAGAAACTTCTGTCTCTTGCTGGCACGGTCTTGCGCATTCTTGCCATCCAACTGGTGTCGGATGCTTGCCAACCTCTTGGATGGACTGATTGGGGAAACAACTTGGGAACCTCGACATTCTTGAAGTCCTTTCGAATCGGGGTAGCGCTCGAAGTCAACTTGTTTCTTGAGCGCTTTTTGGTATCTTTTGGATTCATCCCTACCAGCAACCCTTTCTGACTCCCAGAGACACGAACCATGATCAGCAACGTTCCACTCTGAAGGAATCCAACGTGTGAACAATTCGCAGTTAGCTGCAACCAACAGCGCACATAATCTTCGAGAGGCGCGAGCATAGGGTATGAACTACTACGTCCCTTACACGCACAAAGGACTGCAGAGAGATTGTCACAAAAGTGGAGACGCTTCGATCCAAAAGAGGATTTGTTTCTCAGCTTGTGTCTCACAACGGTGCAAGGATGGCTCGATCCAGCACAGTTATCGGCTCAGGAAACTTCATCCGTGCAGCAAACACAAAAATCCATTTTTGAGGGGACATACCTTCGACAGAAATCTCGGGAAAAGCATCGTTGATCTCGTATGGATCTTCATGTTGAACTTCGCAAGGCTTAACCGTCACGATATCAATGAATGGGTCTAAACCAACACATGGATCATGATGAGAAACCGTAGCTTTCCTAGGAGCAACGGGAGCCTTACACTTGTACCTCCAACTTTCCTTGCGCCGACCAATGTGATTCACACGCTGTGTCGAAAACTCCGATTTACAAACACCAATTCCAGATAGTGAGGCATCCGACGCATAAACAGTGGAATCCCAAGGTCTTCTAAGATCGGCAAAGGAAACCGCTAACAGATCAGCTGCCCACTTCGCTTCAGATCGTGCTGGTGGCCACAACCTCCGTCGAGACTGATAGCAATCTTGCACAAATTGATACATGCGTCTGAACATGGATAACATTTCACAACGCAGCATCATAAAATGAACACAATGCCCAATCAACTTCTCCACCATCTTCCCTGAAACTCTGGGCCCACTGGCCAAACATCGCAGCATAGCAATGACCTTTCCAACCTTGGACGGAATGGGGGTGACTTTGCCAACAGCAACATCGATGTGAAAACCAAGGTAGTTTGCAGAGGAAGCGGCGTCCAACTCCTCGTGGACAAACCCAATGTGTCTAAGGTGTGCAACAGCATCATCTTTCGCTTGTTGAACCCTTTGTCGGCAGATCCCAGCAATGTTGAGATTGTCTGCATAGGCAATCACGACCGGTTCACCAGTTTCGAGGCTCGGGCAAGCAACTCCTTCAGCAACTTCTCGGTTTGGGCCCAAACCTGCACCGACCAAAGCTTGGTAGGAGTGAATGCGTTGTGCCCAATACATAGCCCAACTCCAACCCATTGGCATGACCACAAACATTGGGTGAACCATGCCTTCGTCGTCAAAATCGCTTCCATGTTGTGGAGAAACTCCCCGCTCCGCCAAAAGCCTGTCAAGTATGGCACGGAGGCAGAAGTAGGGCTGCAATTCCAAGGGCAGAGGCAGTGAACAAAAATAGCGTATATCAAACTGAGCAACGAATAACGACTCCCCTGGTGGGAGTTGCAAACTGCTCCATGATGACCCTGCTGCCATCTTGAGAGGAGGAGGGTCCCGAAATCATTGGTTCACCGCCCTACAGTCCAGAACCAGCCTGAGGGCCCCAGACTTTTCGTCACAAAGAAAGGTGTGATGCGATCCTTCGGACGATGAGTGAATTGAATCACGCCACGCTTGTACAAACTCAACACAAAATCCTGGTACTTGATCTCATCACGTTGCAAGACAATGTCCATAAAAGGCTTGATCCTAACACCACGCTCAACCATCTCTCCCCATCCCTGTGGTGAAAGCATCATAGTAGATATGGGTCCTTCAGAAGCTCACGACCAAATGGATCCAGCAGGTCATCGAGCTGAGGTGGAGTAGCTCCTACAACCGGCAGGGAAACGAGGTCTTTGCTGAAGGGCTTGACTGTAGCCTCAACCTCTTTAGAATATGAGGGAGTGGAATGCAGAAGCTCTTTCATAGCTTCACGCTGACTATACAAAGGAATACGTTCACAACCATGGCGAAATTGTTTGAAAAGCTCATGCTGGGCTTTCTCCTGAACAGCCAATGGAGGCAAAGCAGCTGATACCTTGGCGACATCACACCCATACATCTCATTGAGGGATTGGGTGATATTGTTCACCTTGTCAACAGTCTGATTCACCTTGACCTTTCGTCTTCTTTGAGAAGAGCTACAACCAGGAGTACCATCACGGAAACCCAGCAAAGGAAGAGGAAAAAGATCACGTCGATCCGCCTCAAAACCTGTGCCCTGCTTCGGACACGTGTTGGCCTGTGTGGAGAAAACAAGCACATCCTCGGCCACTGGAGGTGCCCTGGTGTTCTTCATGCTTGGTCACCGCCGCCTTCACCCCCTTTCTTATTCTTGGGGTTTTTGCGGCGCAACTGAGCCTCTTCCCAAGCCTTCCTAGACTCCTTGAGGATGGCGGCCTCATTCTTCAACTCAATTGCCACGGGCCATCGCCGTGACAACAGCCTGAGCACTACGCCTATACTGCCAACCCATCATGATATCAGCAGAAGAATAGTCGGGCGCAGAAGGGGATACTTTGTGAGCTTCCCGGATAACCATCATTCGTCTGATCAGGAGCTCGGCACTTTGAAGAGCAGGAACATTCATCCGATATATGGTCAACATGGACTCTAGTATACGACGCATACATCTTCGCGCGCGTATAAACAGACCTGTCACCTCGGGGAATCTCCGCAGTTCGAATCCAGTATTCATGGAAGGTCGTGGACCCTGCAACTGAAGCCCACCCCCTTGTGGTGGGGAATCATCCAACAAGGCAACCGAGGAATTGTACTCCCTCCGACGAAGACCTTGTCGAACATGACTGCGAAAACCCTCAAGTCCTCGAGCTTGTAGGACCCAACCTCGTCCGCACTGACCTTCTTGTGGCGAAAACAAAATCGTTGCCAACTGGAACCAGAGCCCGTTCACCTGAAACCTGACTGCCCGGAAGTAGAGGAGTAGGATCAACAGCAAGAACATCACCTCTAGATATAGCATCTTTCTTCTCCAAGGCAACCCGAGGTCTAACCGGTGGAGGAGGTGCAGGAGGAACTGCCCCAACAACATGCGCAGGTTGGCCAACCACCAAAGGACCAAGACCAGCTATTGCCCTGATATTTGAAGCTTCAGCCCGACCCTGTTGCATGAATCTGGCCAAATCCACTGGAGACAAGGGAGCAAAACCGTACGACGTGCCAGATGCCCATCAGCTCCACCATAATGGAAATCGGTCAGATCCACATTCATGTTGGAAAGTTGCTCTTCATAAATGTCATGGTCAGGAGTCAGCACCGCAAAATTATCTGCCGTGGTAGGAGCGAGAATGACTCGTGTATGCCATACTTCAGGGACTTCCCCGTAGTTAAGGAAACAAACATGTCCAGGCTCCATGGTTCACAGCACGTCTATTGTGTCAACGGCAGTGCCTTGCCAAACACTCCCTTTCCACCCTTGGGCGGAGCCTTTGCTGAAGTGGCGCTAGTAGGCTGAGAATGGTATATTCCAACTAGCCCCACCACCAAGAGAATCAAAGGCTTGTTCCTGCTAATCGGGGGTTCAAAATCTAACTGAGGCTTCAAGTTTTTGGAGGTGTTGTCATGCATTGTGACAGCATTGGGCCCATGCTTTGATCTTGTGTGGATGAGCTCTTGTGATTCACCAACACAATGAACCCAGCCAGCCCAGAAGCCGAAACACCCATGGATGCTCAGCCGAGATGCACTGACAAGTGCAAGCACACGGTGTTGGCAATGGTGGAGTCGGCTGCACCAATACCCCACGAAGCGTCCACCCAGCTGCTACCGAACCAGCAGCGACCAGGAGATGGGAATCCATGACCCGTGAAAACCAAAGATCTTGAAACATAATGGCGGCGGTTTCACCGCTCAAACCATCCCAACACACGTGTAAGTACAGGTTGGGGTACAACTTGAGATTCTTCAAGCGCTCTTTGTAGCACGCATCGGGCTGAGCACAGCTCTGGAGGCAAGACCAATCCGATTCATTGGTCACGTCTTGCTTGAAGGTCACATTTGTGGCATGTACTGGAGCTCGCTTCTGATATGGACATTCCTGTGACCAATGTCCAAGTTGTCGGTAGATGAAACTGAAACATGGCTCCGTCTTCTGTTGCTCCTTGACCCACTTCTTCACATGCTCTCTGTCCCGCACAGCTGCTTGCCCCAACGGCTGTCCTTGAACATGACCTTCACGGCCTTCACGTTGGAAATATTGTCTCATCTTCTTGATTTCTCTAACTCGATTGCGGGCCTTGCACCCCTGCTCATAGATCTCAGCCATTAGAGACATCAGGCATAGATGGAGTGGACGCCGCTGATCCCCCCTTTGGCGGCAGAGTCCACAGAGACACCACCAGCAGCACTCGCCTCCAAGATGTTGGGGAGAGCGGCAAAGTCCGTCATGTCCTCTCAATCTTCATCCATGCCATCTTCATTCAACGCGTTGACAAAGTCGAGAAAGCCGTCATCGTCCGGAGCCATCTCCTCGTTCAGGGTGTCTGCATCCTCCAGGATCGCATCTCGAACTCGTCGACAATTACCAAAAAAACGTCGGCCACGCCCAGCTTGCCCATGACGAGGAGGAGGAGCCACTGCACCAGATGACGTGGGTAGCCCACCCATTCCACCATGCTTTTGAACCGGGCACTTGTCCTCCCGGTCCAATGTCGGCTCACCTCGTCCACCGGGACAACCCGGTTGTCCCTCCAGTTGCTCGGCAAGGTCGAGAAATGCATTCCTCGCCGCATCCTCATCGTCAAGCTTTCCACCATCTGCCGCCTTGATGAGGGCGAGGTCCCTCTTGGTCAACTTCGCCGCATCCAGCAAGTGGCCCACGTAGAATTTCGATCCCACCTGGTAAGCTGGCGAAGATTGGTTTTCTTGACGATAGATCCCAGCCCGGTTCGAAAAGCTCTCCACCGACTCACTCGGCAATTTGGACAATCTCATAAGCTTCTGTCGGCGTTGGTCCACGTTCTTCTGATCCAGGAGCTTAATGACAGGCGACCGTTCCATGGTCGCCTCGATAGTTTCAAGGCCATCCGAAGCTGAAGCCTCTTCCACTGACAAGCGCTGCACTATCTTGCCGGCCCTTTCTCGCAGCTGTTGCATAAGTCTTGGTCCTCTCATCTCACATGGCAAAGCTTTGCCTTCAGAAGCCGCCCGGAACGTTACACTCCTCCAATACTGTTCCCAGCTCTCACCCGGACGAGCGTAGAAGATTGGAAGGCATCAAGAGCTCAACTTCCCCGCGGCAGCCACCAACCAGGAAGCATTCCCGGCCACAGCAGTAACTCCTCTAGGAGCTTCGCCAGCAGGAAGGTTGTCCTTATCCTTCACTGCTGCCGCTGTCGGGGAGATGACGGAGGTCTCCAGTTCATCACGTCGTGCTCTACCCTGATCGTCACCATGTCCTCTTCCATGATCGTCTAGTTCGCATACTCCCTGATGCGCAAGAGCCCTATCGTGATGTCCTCCGCCATGACGGTGCCCTTGTCCAGCATGTAGCGCCGCATCCTGAAGATGACGCAAGACCGCATCATCTTCCTGCTGTCCCTGAAGGTCTTCCACATTCCACTGCTTCCTGCTGGACCACCATGACCTATTGGAGTTGTGTCCAAAACTCTCATCCGACCAATCGCTCTGAACTGAGTGCCGCTCACTGGATTGGTCCTCATAGTTCTCGGCCGGGTAATTCTGCACCACATAGTTCTCCACCGTTGGCCAAGTCCACCAATTCTCCCAGTACTTGGCATCATCGTCGGAGGAACTCCACCAAGACTGCCGATCCCGTTCAACGCCACGTCGGTGTCGGCTCGCTTCCAACCACGGACCCGAATGCTGCCACGGATCTTCCGCCGAAGAATCCTCTTCTTCTCGGATTGGGCTCATCTCCAACACTGCTGCGGCATGCAGCGATGTTGCTGGCACTATTATGTCTTGCGCCGTAGCTTCAGAGGCTCCGCCTGCAGGACATTCTCCAGCTGGCTGCCCTGCCACCAGGCTACTACCGGGTTCCAGGCTTCCGCGTCGTTCAGCTCCCGATGATCCCCCTGACTCCATGAGCTCCTCCATGTCCACTTGAGAACCCGCTTCCCGTCGAGCTCTAGCAGCTGCAACACGTCCCGCTCCTCGAGGTCGAAAAGCTGGCACCGGAACGTCCAGCGGCCTCGGAAGCTTCTCCACCTCGGTCCAGGAGTCGCTGCCCTCCAAGGAACGCAGGGGTCCCGAAGGCTCCAGCAAGGGAAAGGCCATGGTTCAAGGCCAGGTGGGCTACAGGTCGCCAACAACGTGGCTCCGCTACCACTGAAAAGGCCCGACCGCCCCAAAAAATCCAACTACTCATTCCCTCCTGAAGCCACGACCGGCTGGTAAAGCCGAATCAACCACAATAACAAACATGCTGTGTCAAATATCTAAGATGTCCAACCCCCGCCCCCGGTTGAGAACCTCGATCAAAGACTTCCTTAGGCATGGCAAATGACATGGCTGCTGAGCACATCGAACTCCAAAAATCATCAAAAATCTCCCCACCAGTCTTCAGAGAAACAAGAGAATACCTGAGACAACGTTTGCATGCAAATAACATAACATGTGCATGATCTCTTGAAATCTCTTGAGTGTATCTCATTTGTGATGGGCTTCACTTTGGTCTCATCCTCCATCTTCCACGCTTTCGCTTCTTCAGAATCCACTTGACTGAGGGATTCGATTACCTCATCAATACCTTGAGAACCCTGCGCAATCTGCCTCTGCAGAAGATCCGCAGCGGCACTTGGCATGACGAATTGCACCTGAGATGTCGGGGGAACTGGAGTTTCCGCTACCTCAAGCTTAAGAATCAACATGAGAATTATCAACGCTTCAAATGCAACAAATAACAAATATAATAAATAACAAGCATGTTGGAATACCAGTATGTCTATACATGTCTTTGATTTTGGATCTTCCTAGCACACTGGAAGCAGTGGCCTCGATCTCAATCATGGATGCCACAAATTGCTCGTAGACCGTCCAGATGCGCGTCAAATACGCCGGTTGATGCCACGTATCCAAAATGGCAACCATTTTTCCAATACGTTTGAGATTGCTCTCAAACACCTCCTCGAGATTGTCGCTTCCAGTGCTGCTCTCTTCGACCAGGATTCGGTACTGATTGTTTGCGAAGAAACACATGAAGAAGTAACATGAACCAACCAGGCTTTGCTGAAACATCTCCAAAGCACTCTGCACCTGCACTCTAGGGCAGCCGGGACTACTTCATTGTGTGCAGGGAAGCTGGAAACCTCAACCTGGGTTGGAAGTTCCTCATATCATTTCCTATGATTTCCTGGCACCGGATTATTGAATGGCTCCGTGACAGACATCTTCCAGCTTTGGGACATCAAAAGTAGTGTCTCCAACATGGCAACTACTCTGGTCACAAGTGCGAAGGAAAACGGCACAACAGGATACAAAAGGAATTTCACAAAATGGCACAACATGTTTCTAAAAGTACTTGACAAAGACGCGATGAAAACTGTTCGCCCAATTTGCCCATGTTCGCCTCGTGCAGACTGTATTTCCAGGTCCAGCTCATGAAATGCGTCTGTTCTCGGCGTTCACAGCGTGGTATCCAATCGACTAACGCACATCCAGCTCTACCATCACGTGGACAGATCATGTCTCGACCAATGGGATCTTCTGAAAGCCAAAAGGCCGTCTTCATGTCCTGAGCTTCGTCGAAAACAGTTCGACCTTTCAACATGTGATGCGACGTGACATTTGCCGCCCTGGGCCAAACTAAACGAAGGCTGTCAAAGAACGGCAGGTCCAGTCATAAGATTCAAAGTTATTTCATACTTTGAAACGTTGCACATGAGATTAGCATCGAAACAGGGTTGTTCTGACCCTACGGGGCTGAGCAAGGTGAGCATTAAACTTGAACAAGGATCGATGAAGGTCGGATCGTTCTTGCCAGTGCGTTGCGTTGCGAGTTGAGCGAAGTCAGCAGATAGCAGATATTGTATGCTGACCTGGGCCCGAGATCGTTCAGGGTCTGGACTGGGAGCAAAACACAAGATCATCGTGGAATATCAAGGGCAGGAAAACAGGTTTATGAAAGAGCGGCTGCATCAACATAGTCAAAAACATGCTTTGCTATCTAGAAACCCCGGCTCTTTGACTCTGGCGGACGCGCATGGCAGACACGCTTTGCTCGAACTTGGCTTTCTGAAGCCCAAGACGACTCAATTTCTTCGAGTATGCCGTGAGCGTGTCTGGTTGCTCATCCTCAGAGAGGCACCCCACAGGCTCACGCTCTATATGATGACATGTGTTGAACATGTTGGCATTTAGAAACTGAGCCCTCGATAAACTTCAAACTCCCGCCTGGTCAAGCATCCATGCTGTGTATTGCTGTGCAAGTTATCCCAATGGAGGCTTTCGTTTGGCACATGATACGCTTCGAATACCAAGCATCCCAAAGTTGGGCATAGACTTCCTCCAGGGTGCGTTCGATCTTCCGAGCTTTGCGAGAGCTGTTCCACGAAAAGGCTAAGCGACCACCGACCCCCAATGCAACCAAACCAAGCACCAGAAGTGGCAGGTGCCACCAGACCTCATGAGCATCATGAAATGAATCACTGCATGCGGATACGAAGAAAGGCAGGGGTGTCTTGCAGGGGTGTCTTGAGACATCCGAGCAAGTCAAAAATTGAAAGCAGCGTAGCACATTCTGAAGGTCCATGTTCATTTCGCATTCTGCTTGGCAGTGCGACATTAATAAACGGCAAGTGCACAGAAGGCAGAGTTATCATCCAGCGGGACCGCACAATTTTCTGGTCGCTGGATTTTCGTGGTTGTGGTTGAGCCATTTGTCAGTTTGGGACAATAGATCTGCGTTGCGGTTCTCAAATTTCCGCAGTAAAGAGGGGATCCAAAGTACGATGCCAAGATAGAGCTCACAATGCGTGAGGGTTGTTACATCAAGCCCACCCAACCCAACATAATCCAACCCCATCCAGGCAGGTCAGGGGTCACCTACGGCAGTCAAAACGGGTAACACAGGCAGTCACGAAATAAAGTGAAGCCATTAAACATGGAACCCGAAACAGTTCTAGAAGTTCAATCTATCCCACACAAGCCTTCTAAGCAAGAGATGTTCCATCTCACTTCAGAATTTGCGTCCCTCTGGCCTCCAAGATATGTCTGATTCATGAGCTAAAACATCTCACTTCTCCAAATCTCCCACCCTAGTTTCGAAACAACGGACATGCAAAAATCAGATTCGAAAACTTCAATGCTCGTGCAAGAACGAGGGGTTGCTGGCCGTGAAGACTGATACACTCAGATCAAAACACAGTCCGCAAGCCGTCAGCGCAATGGACGCGCAAGTTCAATTAAGTCACTGTTCCACGCGATCAACATTTCACAACCGGCAGTCAAAGGGAAGGGGGCAGACAACAGCATCCACTTCCAGCTTTGAAGCCGGAAAACCATGAAAAATAGTGTGCTGAATTTCCATGTCTCAATATATATATACATATATATATACTTAACATGAAAGACAGCTCTTGTTTTTCCACAGAGGAAACTCAAGAGAGTACCAGAAAAACACACCAGAAAACGGCGGTGAAAGGGGGAAGGTGGAGGGTGAGACAGGTGGCTACAGAGCTACACATGTTAAATCTTCGTATCATTTACTACGTGCATTCAACTCAAACTATTAACATGAAAGACAGCTCTTGTTTTTCCACAGAGGAAACTCAAGAGAGTACAAATGGGAGGTCACTACCCCCTATTTACAAAACTATTTACAAGCGGCCAATTACAGCCAAAACGTTTTGAACACCTTACATCAACCGGGCACACACACAAAGGTGGTAAGGGGTTGAGTAAACAACCTCAATAAGGTTGGCCTAAAGAGGCAGAACGATGGGGTGGTTCGATCAACCTCCCATTTCCAATTAACAAGCCGGGGTAACAACAGCAAAAAAACAAGGGAAACAAACCGGAAACAAAAACTCCCATTCGCCACGGCTTATTTTCCTGTCGCAGACGCCTGAAGTGACGAGCTCCTTTTAGAGCCCATTGACGGACACGCCGCGATTGACGATTTGTCCAAAAGAACTTGGCCATTGCCAATGTGCCCTGGTCGATATACATCCTTGCAGTGCGATTGCATGTCCACCGTCCCAATTGTAAAGTCGCATCCATAGATGCCGTACGCAAAAAGTGCCACGTCTGATGCTGTACGGGGAGTAATCATCTGGGGCGAAGTCCAAAGCCTCAAGAAGGCGATGCCAAAGAACACGGAAACGCCCCAGGGACGAGGACCAGAGAAAGGCTCTCGGATCACGTGCTGCAAGCACGGCCAATGCCAGCGCATGAATTCGGCTGTCACGGAAAACCACCACTTGAGGGTTTCCCACTGACGTCTTGGCAAAGGGAATAATCACAGTGATACGGTGAGACCTGTGGTCAGGAATCAAATGCAGAAGTTGTAAGGACAACATTTCAGAAGTCCACAAGAAACAAAAGAACCCCACGTAGAGCATGAGAGCCACATGGGGAAACCCTGACTCCATACATAAGGCAGCCATTGCCTGCAAAAGTTCCCAACTTATGGGCACGGCTCTGTCAGGCCGGTGAATCCTTTTCCAGTTGCGAAAGTACTGGCTAGCAGTGGGCAGCCTCAGGCGCAAACTTGGGTAAAAACGTTTGACACCTGACAGGAAATGACCTGCTTGGGCCAAGCTATCCCCTTCTTGAAAAAGGGCATTGGTGAATTCTGCCACGGCATAGTCGAGCTGTGAGGCTGTGCGTAGAGGGAGGCGGTGAATTTTTGCAAACACCAAAAAGCGATCGATGCTCAAGCGATAGGCTCTCAGAGTCCTCTGCTGCAGCCCTGCGAAACGCAGGTGACTCGGCATGTCAACGAGACTTCCGGCGCGATGCGCCGTCAGCAAAGTTCCACCTCGATATTGTCCAGGCTGCCAGAGGATATTGGTCTGAGCCCAGCTGGTACGCGGCTGACTGCTTCAACAGCCGGTTAAGAGCCTTGGAAGGGCTTCGACCCTTACTGACGGCTCCTCTGGTCACCTGGCTGTCGACTATGGAGACATACCGCATCTCATGTTTTGCTGGGTTTTTGGCCCTGCGCTTGAGCATCACGATGAAGGCTGCAACTTCGCCTTCGTTGATATGGCGCTCGTCCCTCCACGCATAGGACAGCACCTCCTCCCAATACCAGCGGTAGGCCGGATAGGGGACCTCTGTTCCCTCTGAGCCCAAAAGGAGACGCAAGTCAGTCCCCCTGATGCTCAACCTCAACCAGCTCCTGCGCAACCATGTTTGCCACGTCCGGCTCTGCCAGACGGTGAGTTGATTTCTCTAATTCTTTTTGGATGGACTTGCAGCGGCCGTCCATCTGACTACGCTCGATCCAGCTCTGGATCTGGATCTTCAATCCTCGTGCGTAGGCTGCGCACCATCGAGGCTTGTACTCGGATTCCTCCTCGGTGGAGAAGTGCAAAGTCCCATCCGCACTGCGGGTAACCTCATAGGGTCGCAGCCCTTCATGGCCCGGACAATCGGGGACGTGGAGTTCTCGCTGGATGTGCGGAGCATTGTTGAGGAGGGCATACCACTTCTCGCGATCACCGTTCCAACAGCAGTTGCTCCCCACGGCGTACTCAAATTCGCCCTTCAACAGTTCATCCAAAATGGAGAAGTACCACAGCCAGCTGTTGTATGGGTGTTCCACGGTGACGTAGCGACGCCTCCCAAAAGTTCCTGCTGCCCTCTTGAGCCCTCTCAGCGCCATGCTGTTCGACTTCCTCAGCTGGATCTTCATCTGCTGAGAGACCCATGGAAACCCCATGACATGATTCGCGTCTCTCACCGGCTGAGGGCCGGGTAACCAAGTCCCATCAGCCAGCGTCACAGGCTTCCCTCTTGCTTGGGAAAACAACCGGCATTCTGGTGCCCAATGCTCAGCCGCTAGGGCCGGATCCCCTTCCAGGTTGGCGAGCTTCTCCTTGCCGGCGGGAGTCTCAAAGTTGTCACCTCTCAGGAGGTCATATGGAGGTTGCACCTCGATGCCACCCACACGTGCTACTGCGTGGGATAGTGGAGCATTCGGACCAGAAAACCTCTCGCCGAACTTGGGGGGCATGTAATGCTGACGTCTGCAACCATCATCACGATGACGCTCAATGCAACCAAGGCTGCATAAAGTCGCGCCACGGGTACATGCGGTCGTGCTCCAGGTCCCGCTGACACCAAAGACAACGTCCATCTTCATGCACAATGGTGTCGGGAATCCGCTTGAATCGCCGGGCAACCGCGCCACCGCCCCCGGTGGGTGAAGCATCTGTGATGGCGACTTCACCATCCAACTGGGCCCTCAAATTCATCACGAGCAGCGGGATGAGGGCCATGACCATGTACACCTCATCCATGGTGTGCCTCGACAAGATCACTTTACCATGCTGGGCCTTGCTCATGTCCACGAAGACCCTCTCGAAGACAGACATTGTTGGGCGCCTGAACGCCATTGCAAAGATGGCTTTTCCGACAAAGTGACGCAACTCAAACTCAGTTGCAGCTCCTGTCCCCAGAAGCGCGGCGCCCAAGCCCATGATGTCCACTTTCTTGTCATGCGAGGCCTCAAACGTCCCGTTGATTCCGTCGATGTCACCTCCTTGCAACGTACCATGCACTGCACCCACAAGGCGTTTGCCTTCATTGAGGGGCAGGTGAAGGTCTTGGCAAGTGTTCACAAACCGCTGGTGGCGATGCGAGGGACCGCCCGCCATGACTTCGCGACACCCCGCGCTCACCTTTCTGAGCTCATCATAGCTGTCGAGGTATACCACAGACACCGAGTCATCCTCAGGAAACCACTTCAGTTTCGACACCTCGGAGCTCTCAGGTATGCCGCTTATCCCGAAAACCAGCGTTCTGACCACCGTCTGCATGAGCGCCACCGAGTTGATCCAGCCCATGGGGACCACCCTCATTCCGACGTAGGCCCTCTCTGAGGCCGGGCCCCCAAACACTGTGGCACTCACCGTCTTTGAAAAGGCGCAGTAGCCTAACCACTCAGGTGGCAGGCGGAACAGGTTGAAGCACGATGTAAGGTCTTCGCTGTCGACCAAAAGCTCTTCGTCTTCATCAACTTCAAGCATGCCCATCTGCCCAAGGTAGGGCAGATGGCAGTCATCTCCTGTCATATGGCACTGGTACGTGTTGGAGGGGACCAGAATAGAGATGAACCTTTGGAGGACTTTGGACTCCCCTCCAATGGTCTTGACCTTTCGCACTGCACCGGCGCCGTTCAAGATCGGCACACCATGGTGATCACGCAGAAGTTGATCCTGCGGTACACGCGCCATCATCCCTCTTTCAGCACCAGCCCGGACAATGGCTTCCCATTCTTCATCTGTGGCCCGCACTCTGCTGATGGGAGGGCACTCAGGCCACTCAGATCGCGGCAACAGGCATTCACTCGGCCTCTCCAGCCAATGCCGCACATGTGGCGGAACAAAACTGCAAGCATCCTGCACGGCAGCCTCACCAGGTTTTGGCCAGCAGGCAATGACCTTCTCTGCCACTAGCTCTTCCATATACTGGACAGGCTCGCCGCTGTAGTCAAACTTCACTTTTCCAATATCTTCACGACATTGTGCAAAAGACTTCAACTTGCCTTTCTTGCCTTCAAACCTCTTCACCCCCTCAAGAAGGCGGGTAACCATCAACTCTTGCGCTGGGGACAATCTTGGAGGCCCCAGTTGCGGTTTCCCAGACATAGCTTGATAGTTCAGCACCTCCACCAGTGTCAACACCCAAGCTGCAACTTCTTCACCTTTGCCCTTCAAGTAGTTCTTTACCAGGCTGCTCCGCACCGGGAACAGGTTCGGCGGCTCCGTGGCCAAGGGAGTTTCCTCTGTGGGAAGTTCCTCTTCAAGCTCATGTTGCAAAGCCAAATAACGGCTGAAAGGAGAATCCTGCTCGGACACCAATTCCCTGAGCCAGCGCATCAACTCTGCAGGGGTTCGTGCCTCTTCCAAAAAATCCACCAACGGCTGCCCCCACTCCTGCAAGGAGTGGGTAAATTTCTCCCCTGTTGGGGGTGAATCCGTCCCAATCTCCTCCTTCATTTGGCTTCGGGCTTCTTGCCCCCTTTGTCGTTCTTGTCCAATGCTCCTCGATCGCCCTTCTCTTTGTCTTTCGTCTTGCCCTTCGCGCCCTTCGTCTTGCCTTTTCCGCCGCCTTCGGGACGATAGCTTCCTCGGTCGTATTGGCGCAGGCGCTGCTCCAGCAGGTACTCCTTGGACACGTAGATTTCCTCGTCCTTGTCCAGAAGCATGCTCTTCTCTGGAGCCAGCAGCTCGAGAAACTGGGCTGAGCCCCAATGACTCTCGTGGCTTGCCCTCTCGACAGCTTTGATTCTCTGAGCTATGACGTCGGCCGCCTTCGAGGGAGACCCCACGGCGAGGAGGTCCAGAATGGTGCCAAGGGTCTTGAGTTCTCGAGTCGATCGCACTCCTGCTTTCACGCCGAGGTTGGGCAGGAGGATGGTCAGTATGTGGTTCAAGGCCACTGCAGGAGTCCTGCTTCCTTTTCGACTGTGCGGGCTGGCGGTCGCGTGCTCCATCTTCAGAAGCATTCTGCTCGCCAGTCGCCCGGGGTACTTGTTCGTGTAGGCCAGCAGCTTTTGCTGGCTGCTTTTCGTGGAGGTGGAGAGGCCTCTTGCTGAGGAGTCATCTTCATCACCAGGAAATTTCACAGGTGGCCCTCCTCCAAATGGGCCTCTGTCGTGGTCATCGTCCTTCTCCTTGTGCTCGGTCGGCTTCTTGACCTTGAACACCTCCTTTTGCGATTCACTTGAATCTGCTCCGGACTCTTCCGGGTGACCCAACTCACGTTTCTTTTTCTTGACACCAGCACGCACCCCTCGAGCAGCCCCATCACTAGAAGACTGCCTTCGTTTCCTCTTTTTCTTCTTTTTGTCCTGCTTCTTGCGGCCAGGCTCATCATCTTCCACGGGTTCAGGAGGTTTAGACTTCCTTCCCCGGTCACGATCTTGCACAACTTTCTTACGGCTTTCCTTAGGCTTGCCTTCCCGAGCCTCACCGGTCTTCTTGTCTCGCCTGTGTTTTGCCTTTTTGGTCTTGCGGTCGGCTGCATCGTCTTCAGCCTGTTTCAATTGCTTCCTCAACTCCTTGATGCGGTCCTTCATCGTCGCATCCTCTTCCGAACTCTCAGAACCACTGGAGTTCTGGTGACTGGTTTCTCCCTCCTCAGAGGGGTCAACATCGTCGACCCAATCAACGTCGGCATCAACGTCACGTAGTGCCCCACGAGATTTCGCGCCTCCAGCAGTCAATGCATGGTTGAAGGCACCCAGAGCCATCATGTACCCTTCGAAGAAGACCTTGTCTTTCAGCCAGGGCACCTGTTTGGATCCCAAGACCCCACGCCCATGGCACCTATACCGATCGCTGTGCACGGCCTCTTTGTGCCCCTTCACTGTGGGACACTCCTTGGCGGCCACCGTGCACAGGTGATAGACTCCTCTTTCTTTAGAGGGTGACCCATCCCCGTCGTTCATCCACCAATGGTAGTAGACATCGGACGCCCCCAAGAAGAACGCCTCGATGAGATGCCCTCCATGGTGTTCAGCCAGAAGGCGCCTCACACCAAGGAGGATGCTGCCCTGCTCGTTGCCCTCGTCATCGTAGACCTGGGCCTCGATGGTGTCACCCTCTGCAATCACCGAGGGGCTACCACGAGAAGCCCCACCCCGGTACCACTTGGCCATGTTGCCCTACACACCCCTGCTTGGCCAAAGCAGGGGGTGACCCTTGAGACAGGGGGCTACAGAGCTACACATGTTAAATCTTCGTATCATTTACTACGTGCATTCAACTCAAACTAATAACGGGGTGTTGAAAACACAATGTCATTGCTTGGTCTCATTGCCCAGACACGCACTTGTTGTCCACCAACACCAATGGCAAGTTGCAGGGGAAGCAGCCATCGACGCCGCTCATAGAGTAGTGCGACCCCAAGCACTCTTCGCACGTGCTCCGCTCCTCGGAAGGAGTTGAACCTGAGGCATGGAAGAACAAAGCTAGCAAGGCTAGCAATAGTACCATGCTCAAATCGGATAACACCAACACCATGAACAATTTCATGGTCTCGACGGTCTCCCCGCCTTAACTAGTTTCAGCCATATGCTACCAACCGACTGCCATCCCAACTTTCTGCCATCCCAACCTTCGGGGCACTCTTGACAGAAGCTTTGAGCTGGCGCGAATTTTCCGACGTCGCATCGTTCACACATCAGATTGTTGCGGCCGGGACCTCTCCCGGGTTGGCATGGAGGCTTCAGCTTCACGGTGCCAGACATTCCATCATGACCTCAGGCTGTGGGAGCCAGGGGCAACATCGGCAAAACATGGGCAACAGGAACAGCATAAAAGTGTGAGGCACCAAGCCAAGTCCAAAAAATGAAAATCCGCCCACTTCACCCACTTGGCTAAGAAACTTATCAAGGAAGAAATGTCCCACAAGCCAATCGAAGTGTCAAAGGAGATAGCCCCGCTGAACATCCAGCGCATGTCTCTCACTGCCGAGGTGTTCCAGGAGCCAATGGGCTGATTGAACTTCTCGGCCCTGTAGAACATCCTCCGCATGTCTGTCACTGCCGAGGTGTTCCAGGAGCCAATGGGCTGATTGAACTCCTTGGCCTCCTCGAACATGGACTGCATGTCTTTCACTGCCGAGGTGTTCCACGAGCCAATGGGCTGATTGAACTTCCAGGCCTGTTCGAACATCCGGCGCATGTCTCTCACTGCCGAGGTGTTCCACGAGCCAATGGGCTGATTGAACTTCCAGGCCTGTTCGAACATCCTCTGCATGTCTGTCACTGCCGAGGTGTCCCACGAGCCAATGGGCTGATTGAACTTCTCGGCCCTGTAGAACATCCTCTGCATGTCTGTCACTGCCGAGGTGTCCCAGGAGCCAATGGGCTGATTGAACTTCTCGGCCCTGTAGAACATCCTCCCCATGTCTGTCACTGCCGAGGTGTTCCACGAGCCAATGGGCTGATTGAACTTCTCGGCCCTGTAGAACATGAACCGCATGTCTGTCACTGCCGAGGTGTCCCAGGAGCCAATGGGCTGATTGAACTTCTCGGCCCTGTAGAACATGAACCGCATGTCTGTTTGTGGTTTCTGGCGACAACCTGGCACGGCCAAATTGGCCCGGGGTTAAGCCACCCACACCCGGACCCTCTACACCACAGGAAGGGCAGTCACGCCCTCCCCACGAGCAATGTGAGGATCCAAATTGTTCTGGCCCATGTCAAAAGGCTCGGGACGGGAGTAGTTGCGTCCGGCTTGGACTTTGCACAATTGCTCCCGGATATGCGCGCATTGTTTCACACGAACAAGGTCGACCCCTTCAGGACCCCAGCCTAATCTGTTAACCAAAGGACATCTGCTGGGAGGGACACGTCTCAGGTGGTCCCAGTGGCTACACTGCCAAAGCACATGGAAAGTGTCAGGACACTGATGTTTCTTACATTCATGGCAAAACATAGGTGGTGACGACGCTTTCGCGTCAGTTTTCAAAGCACCAGACATGATTCCAATCTCATGCGCGGACAGATGTGTGGCCGCCCGGTGAAGCTTAGTGATTAGGTTATCAGAAATAGCCAAATTGTTTGCCCGGGCCAGCTTGGCATCATTGCGGTCAGATGCCAGCCACCCTTTGACCTCACGTGCACGCCAAAACTGCCGAAAACAATGTGCCATGCGAGGTGCGAAATCAGGTGGGGATGCGGAGTCCCACCACCCCCCACTCCAGGACCAGCGGCCCCAGCTGTCGCACTGAAGGTCCAGCTTGGAGAGAGCACCGTTCAAAGCCGAAATCACATTACTAGGCTTGTGGGACCAATTCCCCGGATGGTGGTGACGCCACTTAGTGAGGGCGTTCAAAAGACGCTGGCAAGAAAGGTAAAGGAGGTCAGATGAGTGCCCAAGCAACAAGACTTTTTCCAAATGCCTGGAAGCAATGCCATCCAAAAATTTTCCTTTAACTGCAAGACGATAATCCTCAGTGTGCGCCTTGCATTCCCCCTTGGTAGGAGTTCTTCCATTAAGTAAAAGCCCCCAGACCCTCTTGGAAGCAAGAGTAAGGGCCGCGAGGCCGGCCCGGAAGTTTTGGGATACCGGCAAAACACTAATACGCTGTGCAATCGTTGTGCATTTTTTGGCACGGGACAGTTCAGCATTGGATTGAGCTCTGGGCGCGATGCCAATGGTGACACCCAGCACTTCAGCCGTGGCAGTCGGCGACAGATTAGCCGCCTGCAACGCCAGATACCCCTTCCAATTTCGCCCCAGCACTTGGGTTTTGCTGGAATTAGTGCGGAGTCGAGTGTGGGCATGGAGCACATTCCAAGCATTAAGAGCTGCGGCCAGGATGCCGGGAGTGGGAGCAACAAGCGTGCGATCATCGAGGTACAGCAAGCATCTGGACTCCGGAACCAACCTCTCTTGGTGCCGCTTCGCAAGCATGAGAACCAGTGACATTGCTATGGGAGACCAGGGATCTCCTTGGGGTAATGCCAAACAATTTTGGATAGGGAGCCGCGCGCACACCCCTGCAAAAGACATCCAACGTTTCTGTCGCCGCCATTGTGCTCCCAAAAGATTGACCACACGGGCAGGAAGGCCAAGCCGGGACATGACGGCCAGAGCCAAAGTGTAATCGCAAGAGTCAAATGCCTTGGTAAAATCTAGTGCCATGAGGCACGGAAATTTTGTGGGATCAAGATCGATGTCCAAAGTCAATAGAAGGGAGGAGACGTCCTCTCCGCCGATGCCCCCCGACTGGTTCCGATCCAGATATTGAGCTAGAATGGGAGCCAGATGGCCCAATCTGATTCTGCCCCAAATACGATAGATGGCTGAGCCGATTGCGATTGGTCTGACTTCACCCAATGAAGGCAAAGTGCCATGCCTTTTCTTGGCAGGGCTGCGATCTTCCAGTAACAAGTGGCTTCCGGCCATGCCCCCTGTTGCTCAAAGGCATCCATCATCTCTGCAAGCCGCCTATGTGCCTCGCACGGCAGCAATGCTAACCAGGAAGGGCAAATTCCATCCAAGCCAGCTGCTTTTCTGTGCATTTGGCGAGCTGCCCTGAGCGTGTCCTCTCCTGTGATGGGCGGAAGATTAGGTGTGGGTAATGGATCAGGGAAGTCATCCTGATAAGCCGAAAGGAGAGCGTCAACATCTGCAGCGAATTCCTGAAAACCAAAAACGTTTGTCCAAAAAGCTTTAAGTTTTTCGACAATTTTAGGGGGGGAGGTCAAAATACTATGATCAACATCTTTGAAAGCCAGTGGAGCAGCTTCTTCCTTCCTGAGCCACTGACAAGCTTGTGGGAGATCGCGCATTCGGGCGCGCCATTTCTGAAGTGCATCGTTGCGGTGCGCATCTTGGAGTTGCCTGAGTCTCACGGTGGCCATTTGGTGGGCCAACCCCCAAGCATGTGCTCTCACAGCCTCCTGTTCAGATGCTGGACAATTTGTGCCAAGTAATTTATTATACAGCGTGTGTGGAATACGCATGCCTCTCCAAGCAAGAGTACGCGCTTCATGAAGCCTGCGAATGAATCTACGCAAATGTCTTTCCGTGATTGACTGAGTAGCACCCACGCGATGAGACCCTGTGCGGACCGTGGGGACGTCACCCACCTTTCTCTCAGGCTGGTGGCTATCGAGAAGGCCGGCCTGAACCAAATAATTTTCAATGTCAAAACACCACATGGCCCAAGCATGGTCGATGTTGATCAGCGCTTGCGACCAATCACTTTCAGCGGCCGCCACCGATGACCACAAACTACTAGGATGTAAAACATCTTGCTGGGGAACCACTTTTTTCCGGGTGTGCGAAAAACGCCACTGTGGCGCCTTACATTTTTGAAATGCAAGAGGGAAGGAGCTCTGTGCGATGGTGTGGTCTCCATCACCTGGAATTTCGGAGGCACTGGAGGCTTGAAGCCCTCCCGAAGACCAAATTGCATCAATTGGGTGAACACTCCGGTCATGTCGAGCAACAGAACACCTGGTGCCACCCATATTTTCAAGGATATCATGAGCAATTCCCTGTGACATGTTAGCATTGGCATCTAAGGCAAGGATCCAATCTTGCGAACCTAGGCGGCTAACAATCAGCGCAGCTTCATGCAAAATGGCAAAATCGGCATCACTGTGGTGCCGGTAAATACAGAGGACGTTGATGTCCCGTTGCCCCCCGTGCAGCACAGCGTGGATCAGCTGCCCTGACTCGGAGCTGATGCGGCTGACCTCAGTGAGCGCACATGATTCGTGGCAGAAGACAGCGACTCCGCCATTGGATTTAACTGGCTTTGGAACAATCAAAGCTTGCCACTGCTGACGCCTACAAATTTGCGAAACAGAGGGAATGCTGATGTGTGAAATGTTATGCTCCTGCATGTAAACAAGCTGGACCTTAGCATCTCTGGCATGTGTGAGCATGTCTGTGCCATGAGCTTGCCAAGAGCGAATATTTTGTGACCACGCGTGCAAATCAGATGGTCCTGGGTGTGATGCCTCACCAAGGCGCACGCCACGGAGGCCTTGTAAACGTTTTCTCTTGGTGGCACTGGCATCTCCGCTTCCTTCAGCTTTGACAGTTCTTTTACGACAATTCTGCCAAATTTTCTTCCTTTTTTCAAGGGAAGGAGACTTACCGACAAAACGAGGACAAACGCTGATGGACAGGGATGGCCTAGACACGTGCCTAGAGCAGGCTTTGCATTTATAAACTGGGACTTGCACCGACATGCCTCTGGTATTGATGTATATCCTAGAAAACTCATGTTGACATGGGACGTCGTGCGCCCCTTTCCATTTGAGCTGTTGGAAAAAACCATGGAATGTCTTCCACCTCGACTGGAAGGTGCTCCTGGCATTCAAAAATCTGGTCGGGTGTTCAAGCAAGTTGCCTGACGACATTTTGGTATTTTGAGTGGCATGAACCCTTTCAAGGTGCCGTTTTTTAAAGCGCGATTTGGAAACACGCTGTGCCGTGCTCTGGATAGCAAAATCACACCAAGGACATTTCCACCAGACACCTCCCTGCGATTTGGGAAAGACAGGCAGGCTCCCTAACGGATCAGGTTTTGAAGCTTGGACAGCGATAGCTTCTCGCTCTCTATCTTGTCTCTGCAATCTGTTTGCTTCCGCCCTTTGTGCTCTCTGCTCTTTGACCGTGCACAGCTTTGCCGCTGCGGCTTGCTTGTTGGCTTTGGCCAAAATGGCCTTCCAAACAGCTCTGCGACCCTGCTTAGAGACATCGCGGCTCTTACTAGGCATGTTGTTTGGGCAGCACGAATCTGTGGGATACGAAACTTTCTTGTTGCATTTGACGCAAACAAAAGGAAACCCTCCGGCGGAACCCAGGCTCCCAGGGTGCACATGTAATCCAGTGCCAGCCTGTTTTGCTTGGATGCTGGCGATGGCTTTGAACTTGGGCCCTAGGCGATCTCTGGTGTTTCGTTTGGCACGAGCAGTATCCCTAGCTTGCACAAGTGGCTCAGAATGTCGTCCTGCATGTTGGATGGCATCATGGGCAAGGGGAGCCTCAACAGAAAAAACGGCATCACAATGAGTCTGTTGGTGAGCACAGCTGCTGGGAGCGGCATCGGTTCGCGCCACGGTAAGAGAAACTCTAGCGGATGAACTTCTGGCCACACTGCTGCGCCTCTTCGAAGCGTTGTGTCTCCGGTCAGGAGCATGCGACATGCAAGACTGCGAATGGACATCATGAGTCCCTGCCATCGGCTGATCAACACTGCTACCGACTTTGACCTTTCGAATGCTTTTCTGCACTGGGTGGGGTCTGCTAGATCGGCGCGAAATGGAACTAACAGGAGTTCGCCAGGTGTGGATGGAAGGAGTGGCACTATTAAGGCTTGGAAGACCACGGCCAGCCCCCGTCAGATCAATCATGAGAGGTTTGGTAGTTTTGAGCAACCACGGGCGAGGGAACTTTGTTTTTTGTGGGGCATGCACTGCTTCGAAATGCTTTTTGTTTAAGGTCAAAACAACCGGAGGCGCATTGCGTCTGCTCATTGCAACATCCTGCTTAAAGCCAGGTGCGAATGTGAATCTGCCCCATCTATCCTCTGATTGTTTGAAAATCACAATGACAAGTCCCAAGGTCTCAGCCAGGCACTGGATGCTAAGGCCATCTGCCCAGACTTCCTGTTTCATCTGCAGTTCACACCATTCACTGATGTTCGTTGCCTGCGGATTGCACCCCCTTTCAGCGGGGGTTTCTTTGGAATCTGGCGCAAACCAGCTAGAGAGCCTGCTACTATGCTTCTGGGCGTGCAAAACAGCTGACGCACGAAGCTCTGCCCCGCAGAGGGCAGCAGTTTCAGCAGTGATCAACTTATGATGCTTTTGCCAGTGTTGACAAGCAGCAATACTTCGATAAAAACAATCTCCATTGCCACCAACATCTTGACTTTCCCAGCCATTTTTGAAACATTCCGCGATGTCTGTTGGGATCAAATCTGGGTCATCTGCAACAGCCTGCCGCTGCTTGGAGCGAACTGGGCTCCGACTTCTTTCCCTACCAGCCTCTTTTTGTGAAGCTTGACTGGAGTCCTGATCCAGAGCAGTTGCCATGACGTCACCGGTATCGCCAGGATTGTTGGCTTCATTTCCAATTTTCCCCAGCTCATTTCCTCGCCATGTGTTTCTGACAGGTTGTTGCCAGGTTGGCTGGTGTTGTCTGACAGGAGCTGGGATGCATGACATGTAGCCTTCTGCCAAATCGTAATGGTAATTTTCCTGCATAGCTGAAGGTGGCTGGGCATGAAAACGCCATTCGTTTCGATATCTCACTTTGGAAATGCGTTGCACGGCTTTCCATTTCTGTTGATTGAGAAAATCTTCGATCTCTTCAGTCTGCCACATCTTTGGAGCCCCTCGGAGGAGGTAGTTGGCCGCTTGGCCCTCAGCTATTTCTGCTGCTGTTTTTTCCATGCCAATGGTGTGTGGTGTGCTGCTTTTTCGAAAAAAAAGGCCAACTTTCCTGAGCTTAGCTTCCTTGAGACATCTTTGCAAATAGGTCTCGGCATTTTCGTTGTTCTGTCGTTGAAACCAACGGATGGGCCTGGGTCCAGTATTGTTTTCTTGGATCTGGGCAAAAACACCCTGGCGACCGCTATTGACAACAAGCTCCTTAGCCTGTTCTGTTGGCAAAATCAGCCAGCCTGTGAGCAAGTCTTGTTGATGGACCTGCGTGTGATTCCATTTGCCACCCATGAGGTGAGAGGCTTTTATTTTTTCACTCCACTGGGCCATGGCAGCCGCCACCAATCTGGGTAGGTCTTGGCCTGAATCCAAGAAGTGCTTTCGGAATTCCAAAGGTGCAATGACTCTGACAGTGCTTCTTTGGACTGTTTTGATTTTCCCCTCATCAACTTTGACTGCGGGCAAGATCCACAATCCACTGTTGGTATCTCCTAAGCGCAGGAGAGCTATTTCTTCAATTTTCGGTGTGCCATGCGCCCTGGATATGCGAACACGGGTAGCCGTGGCCCCCAGGGTGTCTTTGGCATCCTTTGTGAGCAGCATGGTCAAAGAGCCCTTGCACCCATAGCTATGCCAAAGGGTGCGCAGGTTCGCACACTGTTCTTTGGTGTAAACTTCGGTGATGTTGGCTTGCAAGGCTATTCCTGCTTTTATCTGAGAAATGATCTCATGCACGGATAGGAACTTTGGTTGGGCATTCCATTCGCTGGGCACAAAACCAGTGATATCTTGATGGCTGCAGCCTCGGTTGGGGTTGGTCTGTTTTCCCCAGCGATTGGCACCATGATTTGAAGCTTTCGCTCCACTCTGGGGCTTGCTGTATCTGACTTCCCTGACCGCAACTGGTTTCCCAAGGTCACGGCTGTGTCCTTGGTTGGTGTCAATCAGCCTGCTGGTGGCTGTGATCACTTCCTGGTCACTTGCTTGGTTTGCGCAAAGTTTCTGGAGAAGCTGTAGCAATTCGCGAGCAAGGCTGGTGTCAGGAGAGCTGTCAGCCCGGTATCCTTGCCATGAATTATTTGCTTGTTTCCTTCTTTTCCGCCACCCCCAAGTGTGGTCTTCAGGCGTATTTTGATTGCTAGGCTGCCACTGCTGGATCACATTTGTCAAAGCAGTAGCCAGGCTTGGTGGTGACTCATGCTGTGGATTGTTGCGCTTACGACGTGTGCGGGCTGAACCGCCCGCACCTCCCGCAAGGAGGCATCGCAACTCTGGTTTGGTCACATCCATAGACGCAGCGTCAGCACGACAAACGCTAGCAATGGAAAATATGCCAAACTGATGGAAATCCAGGTTCAAACCATGAGACAGTTTGGAACAACTTCTACGGGTTTTACTACACCGGATGCGGTTTTGGTGGCCTCGGGCCCATGCTCTCAGTTTTGCTGCGCGAAACTTCGCGCTGGCCAATCTTTGGCGCATTTTAGCTTTGGTATGGCGTGCATTTCGCACCAGTCTCGCTGGAAGTGCCATGCGATACTTGGTGAATTTGATATTTTTGTTTGGTTTTCGAGTTTTGCACTTTTTTCTGTTGGTTTTGAGAGTTTTCTGCGTTCTCTTGAACGAATTGCGTGGTCTGCTCAGCCAGTCCCAAAAGAAAGCAAAGCAGTATAACATACACAGGAATGTCAGGTTAGTGAAAGGGTCTTCACCTATGATTGGCCAGTGTTCATGCATCAATGTCACTGCAACTTCACTGGGTGTAACACAACAACTGCAAAGATGCGAAAGCAACCATGCCATGCTGCATTGAAACTGAGAGAGCTTCGCACCTGCTAAGGCCCGCGACTGCCGTGGCAAACTACAAGAAGTAATTGGCCGGGAGGCGCTCTCTTTTTGATAGCCGCTGAACCGCATGTCTGTCACTGCCGAGGTGTCCCAGGAGCCAATGGGCTGATTGAACTCCTCGGCCCAATTGAACATGGACAGCATGTCGGTCACTGCCGAGGTGTCCCAGGAGCCAATGGGCTGATTGAACTCGTAGGTCCCGTAGAACATGAACCGCATGTCTGTTGTAGTTTTGAAAGTGCACCCAACCTGGCGAGCCAAGAAGGCATTGGATTAAGGGGCACCCCACGCAAAGCGTGGAAAAAGCCGGCTGGCTGTGTTTCTTGTGATGAAGACCGGTAAGGTCACGGGCGGGTGCCCGTCGTGTGTTGCGGCTGCAGCCGCAGTGTCAATGCTGTGTTTAGCAGCTGCTGCTGCTACGAGAGTGCTGGTCCCAGTGAACTGGGTGTGATGGGGCAGAGCCCACATCGGTACGTTGTATTTTGCAAAGTGATGTATGGCTTGCGCCAATTGGAGCTGGTCTGTGCCAGTGTTCCGGTGTGGTAGCCGGCGGTTTGCCAGTCTGTGCATGTCTGTCACTGCCGAGGTGTCCCAGGAGCCAATGGGCTGATTGAACTCCTTGGCCCTGTAGAACATGGACTGCATGTCGGTTTGTGGTTTCTGGCGACAACCTGGCACGGCCAAATTGGCCCGGGGTTAAGCCGCCCACACCCGGACCCTCTACACCACAGGAAGGGCAGTCACGCCCTCCCCACGAGCAATGTGATGGACTGCATGTCGGTCACTGCCGAGGTGTCCCAGGAGCCAATGGGCTGATTGAACGTCTCGGCCCTGTAGAACATCCTCCGCATGTCTGTCACTGCCGAGGTGTTCCAGGAGCCAATGGGCTGATTGAACTCCTTGGCCCAACTGAACATGGACTGCATGTCGGTTGTAGTTTTGAAAGTGCACCCAACCTGGCGAGCCAAGAAGGCATTGGATTAAGGGGCACCCCACGCAAAGCGTGGAAAAAGCCGGCTGGCTGTGTTTCTTGTGATGAAGACCGGTAAGGTCACGGGCGGGTGCCCGTCGTGTGTTGCGGCTGCAGCCGCAGTGTCAATGCTGTGTTTAGCAGCTGCTGCTGCTACGAGAGTGCTGGTCCCAGTGAACTGGGTGTGATGGGGCAGAGCCCACATCGGTACGTTGTATTTTGCAAAGTGATGTATGGCTTGCGCCAATTGGAGCTGGTCTGTGCCAGTGTTCCGGTGTGGTAGCCGGCGGTTTGCCAGTCTGGTGGCTGGCTGTGCCCAGTCCAGGGTCCCGGCACCACAGAATGGTGGCCACGGTGTTAGCGTGACACTGGGCGGTGCATTAACGTAGCCACCTTCCGTTTTACCGGCGCTGCCCCGGTCATCTCTGACGCTCACCACTGCGTGTTAGGCAGTGGAGCGGGGTAAGTGGCCTGTTGCGGGGGGGAATTTGTAACCAGGTCAATTCCCGCGCGGTCACCCGCGCCCCCCCCCCGAGGGTGGACTGCATGTCGGTCACTGCCGAGGTGTCCCAGGAGCCAATGGGCTGATTGAACTCGTAGGCCCCGTAGAACATGGACTGCATGTCGGTTGTAGTTTTGAAAGTGCACCCAACCTGGCGAGCCAAGAAGGCATTGGATTAAGGGGCACCCCACGCAAAGCGTGGAAAAAGCCGGCTGGCTGTGTTTCTTGTGATGAAGACCGGTAAGGTCACGGGCGGGTGCCCGTCGTGTGTTGCGGCTGCAGCCGCAGTGTCAATGCTGTGTTTAGCAGCTGCTGCTGCTACGAGAGTGCTGGTCCCAGTGAACTGGGTGTGATGGGGCAGAGCCCACATCGGTACGTTGTATTTTGCAAAGTGATGTATGGCTTGCGCCAATTGGAGCTGGTCTGTGCCAGTGTTCCGGTGTGGTAGCCGGCGGTTTGCCAGTCTGGTGGCTGGCTGTGCCCAGTCCAGGGTCCCGGCACCACAGAATGGTGGCCACGGTGTTAGCGTGACACTGGGCGGTGCATTAACGTAGCCACCTTCCGTTTTACCGGCGCTGCCCCGGTCATCTCTGACGCTCACCACTGCGTGTTAGGCAGTGGAGCGGGGTAAGTGGCCTGTTGTGGGGGGGAATTTGTAACCAGGTCAATTCCCGCGCGGTCACCCGCGCCCCCCCCCCGAGGGTGGACTGCATGTCGGTCACTGCCGAGGTGTCCCAGGAGCCAATGGGCTCGTTAAAGGCTCTCATTTCGGCAAACAACCTCGACATGCTCGTCACGTTTGAAACATCCCAGTTGGCGATTTCTCCGTAGGTGGAGATTACCCGCAACTTTTCCTGAATTTGTGCTGTGTTGGCTTGAGAGGCCAGCAAGGACCAACGGGACATGACTATACCGACCCCACAAACCATAACCTTCAGCCAGGGTTTCGATCATTGTCTCCGAATGTCTATAGAATGTATATGGGTGAAAAGTGCAAAGTTTAAACGTAGTGCTACTATGTCGTGATTCAGTCAAGAGACCGATTTCGGACATTTTAAATCCCTCCAACATCCCAAACGCCAAGTGATCTTTCAAAATCACCACAATTCACAACCGAAGCTGCCAAGTGTCAGATGGATCTGCCAACTGATTGTCCCAAGCGCGGACAGCTTCGCGCAGCTCGGTCGCATTTTGGAAGGCGCGGCAACACTGCTCGCCTTGGGAACTGGGTACCATCAGCACAGCCAACAGCCACATCAACGCCATGGTGCTTGCGAAGGGCCCTCGGAACTCTGGGCCAAATGTTCTTCAAAATCTCTTTGAAAACATGTTTTAACTAAATTTTAACATGTGTTCTTTGTGATTGGCACGTACTGATGGGATACAAACTCATGACATCTCTCAGTCTTGAAAATGTCTCTGGACCACCTTCACACCATGTGATGTCAGCAGAAATGGCAGCAACATAAAAGTTGAAAACCAAGGAGAGTCACCTTCCTGAAGTTCACGTGTATCTCTCTGGCTACACCTCTCTGATTCCAGGTAATTTGTCGTGGTCAATGCAGTCTGAATGGATGTAACATGATGTAACTCGGCAACGAACAAAACACCTCAGTTATTTTTCAGCTTGTCCACCAGGGCACAGCTCCTTTCATCTCCCAGCATTGCAAGGGAACTCTCGCGGCTTGTTACCGCAATGCGGATCAAGGATGCGTTGCATTTTCCAAGAAGTACAAGTCTTGACTGCGGGACAACAAGATGAGTGCTGATGTATTTCGAACTCAAATGTTCTCCGCAAGCTCATGCTGCAACCATATCCTGGCTGTGAACTGACCCCGGGAGTTGCAAGACGTCAATAGACTCGCATTTTTCAGCACGAACCCCAAGGACGCATCTAGATCTCAAACAATATGAACGAAGACTCTTCAGACTCTTCACTTTTGGTGCAGAGACAAATAAATGCACATACTCAAAGGTATTGACAAATCCCAAACTTAGTAAGGTATTTGCGGAAGCAACGCAGGGCGTCTTTTGCCATGACGCGTAGCAGCTATATGGCTTAGGCCGATCCAAGGCCGCGGGGAAGAATGATTAGGATGTGGGCCGTGTCTCCATCCACCAATACAACTATAGTAACTATAATAATATCAATGAGAATCTTCTAGGGCTTCTTCAAAGATCTTAAAAGAGGGTATCTTCAACACATGGTTCAAGCAAAAGAAAGCAAAATAAAAACATATTTGGACAAAAAATAGGGGTTCATATCCCCACTGGAGTAGATGAAAACAATGGATATTTCACGGAAGGGGAAGACTTTCACTCGAGAATATCTACATGGCCCTTTTTCTTTCTGTCAAAAACATGACACTGATGAGATGCAAAAGTTGACTATCCATTGGAGTTGTTAGTTCTCACCCATTACAGCGATCACCAGTCATGTGTCGCTTTGCTGTTTCTGATCCTTTGTCATTTCATGTCATTTCTGCGCATCACTCTTTGTTGATGCGTTGTTGTGCCCGGCAACTGAGCTGAGGTGTCCAGCCAGTCGCAGTGGGAAATTCTCATGGCCAATGACTCTGTGAATCGCCGATATCGCTGATATCACATGCCACATACAGATAAGTCAAAAAGTTTTGCTGCATTGCGAAAGGCAATACTCTCCCAGTCTTTCTGCGGCAACGCCACAGTTTCAGACAAACTGTTGAACCAGCCCGCTCCATCTGAGATGTCTTCATAGGCAGTATCGATGGAAAACATGACCCGCTCAGGCCCCATCACAGATAGGGCGTGTCGGAAGCCAGGCGTGTCAAACATGCCACTGGTAGTGATGTGAAAGTTGTTCTTCAAATAATAAGTGACATTGTGCTTGCGCTTGTACAAGCCATTCTCCGGACAAGGAGACAATTCCATGTTGGGTCCGGTATGGCATGAGAGCGACTCTGGCGTCCAGCCCTGCTTCTTTAAGCGGTGGTCTATACGCCTGGCTGTGCTGGAACCATCTGGAACCTGTGATGCCCTGGAAAAGAGCATGTTCTGAGGATTAGCAGATGGTAAACTGCTATACTACATATATATATATATTCTATCCTGCAAATCACCAGTTTGTAGATTAAAACTATGGGGTTTTCCATTGCAAACTGTTAGTTTACCATTGGGTAGTCACCACCTGAAAAATTCACAAGTCCATACAAGTTGAATTGCAGAACAAACATGCCAGCAGTACCATGCCATCCATATCAAAATCTCACCATCATGACCTAAAATCAACTTGACCTTCGGAAACCGGTCGAAGAAGCCGGAGAGAATGAAGCGCAGAGCATGCTCAGCGGTTTCCACATGAAAGCCCCATGGTGAGACACGCATCTCTGGAAACTGCTTAAAGAATCGACTTGGCTCAGCCTCACGAGGATGTAAGTAGATGGGTTTGCCAGATTTCTCCACAAAGTCCCAGAACTCATAATATTCCTGCGGACCGTGAAGCACGGAGCAAGTTTCTTCTTTTGCCGCGCACATGTTCCTAGATCCTGTGCATGAGAACATCTACCTGCCTTGGAAAATTCTTTGACCTATTGGGCACACTGCGACATGCCACTGTAACTAGGATAACTAGGGTTTAGTTTTAGACTCTGACACCGTTATTAAAAACAACCCGCGGAATCATCTTGTGAAGCTTGATTACTTCAACATCATCGCGGTCCTTGGTAATGTAGTAGTTGAAATCTCCACCAGTGTTGGAGGTGTCGTAGCCATTAATCAAAGCACCGACCGCTCCATATTGCAAGCACTCTTTAAACTGCAAGATTGATGCCTGACAGCAGTAAACAACTTGGGTGTGAAACTGTGCATCCCTGCACTTTATTCATTTTGATTCTTGTTGTTTCTTGCAGGGTCAGATACATATCAGTCATATGGATTCAATTTTGGTATGTCTGAAAAATTGGGTACCCCCAACAACTCCTGGGTTGATCATCATGTTTCTCCATGAAAATCATGTTTCATGGGTAAAAAAACCTGGTGGTAGACCCTGGCTCCCTCCAAGGTGTGGGCGCCTATCCGACTGAGATATATCTGTGTTACATCCTGTCAGTTCAAAGTCATTTCAGTTTTCTACAGAAATATATAGAAATATTATTGTAATTATAACTTATAACACTGTTTAGAAATAACACATCCACAATTGGTTTCAATGTTCCAATAATTGGTTCCTCAATCGTGTCGTAAAACTGGTGTTTGTAGGTGCCCAACTATCGAGACATGATTGCGTCAAACACGATGAAACCACTGAGGGTGAAGACCGAAAGGAATGTGGAAAGTGGTTCTTCCATTTCTACAAAATACATAAATAAAAGCACAATATTAGGGGATGTCTCAATATTGGGATACCCCATCTTGTCCGTGCTTTTAATAGGGGAAAATGATGATAAACTATCAATCTTTAGGGTACCCAATTTTGGGACATACCATAAATGCATCGAATGTGGCAGCTTGAAACTGCCTGCGGATCCCACAAGGGCAAGAGGCAGAAACCTGCCAGGTGTGGCTTCCCTTCAGCGTTGGCTTTGCCTGGTGCAGATGGAGCACACATCACTTTCCGTCATAGTCAAATGTTGTCAAATTGGTGAATAATCTCAAATAGGCAGGAAAATCAAAAGAACATGCTCAAAACCAACAACCAGTTGCGCACTTTGGTCAGAAAGTTGCGATTCCATTGAAAGAACTGAGCCACCGAAACGCCGTTGAAGGTGTCCTTCATATCCTGGGTGCTACCTGTGATGGAAAGAATCATGAAGTCAACACCATATTTTTTTCGCAATCTTCACCCTGGTCTCATCAATATGTCCATCCTCAAGGTCCTCCAAAGCCTCTTTGTTTTGCCACCACTCCACTGGTGGTTCTCCATTGGAGAAGTTCCAAATACTTTTGAAACCAACATGTTCCTCCAAAGCGACTTTGCAAATCGAAGAACCAGCGTTGGTTTCACGATGGTGTCGAGAGTTCACCTGCACGGAAAGCAAATTCACAGCATCCGTTTCACATGCACCAAGTTCGCATGCTGACTCGGTGAGCATCACTTGAGTCATGACAAGCGCTCCAAAACGTGTCATCGCCATGGTTTTTTGCACTGGTTACTTTGAGCAAAGAAAGGTCTCAACACAGAAAAAGAATGAAAAAGAGGCAAGGCACACCGTTTGAAAATCACTCTGTCAGAAACGTCACTAGTCAAGCTACAATCAGGTTGTTGCAACACTTTTGTTGAAGGCTAACTAATGAGCATGTCCTCACAAGAATTCCAGAATTATTCGGCGTGGCCATTGCCACCAATCCAAGAATCCCATGATGAGCCAGCAATTCTTGGAGTTCCCAGTTTTGAGTCTAGACATACCCCATGTATACAACAATGTTCAACAGCGAAAAAAATGGTCAGGTAACCCCAAGTTATATATCGCCTATTTAAGTTTGGGATGAGGTTCTAAACCATCAACAACTTTGTGGAATACCAATAACTTGAGACATAGCCACACGTGAATCATGCTCAATATTGGCTCATCGACTCGCTACATCATTGGGTCTAAGATGGTCTAAGATGGAGTAAGTAGTTCTTTGGATTACTAATTAAAAACTTAAGAATAAACTGGGATCTGACCCACTTGTGATGAGATTGCACACAAAATTGATCAGTGTTGTTGGTAAACTATGCATTTTAACGCAGTCAACCATTTGACATACCCATGTGATGGGTGGCCATCCCAGAATATGTCGTGCCAAGTCTTTCCACCTAAACCATACACCAGATAGTTGACCAACAAAACCCCCCTAGTCTGGGCTATGAGGAACCACCAGGAACCACCAGGAACCACCAGGAACCACCAGGAACCAATGGCAAGTGACAAACACCACCTGATGGGAACCAATCCAGATGATCCCTCAGCGGTCCAACAAGAAACTGTTTCCAGTTTTCGATGATACACAACTTGGGGGTCCATCGGACCATTCTGGTAGGGGCAGTGGATCAAACCAGATCAGGCCTTGAATCCTGAATCACATGCAGTAGGCAATGGATTTACTTGTGGGTAAGGCACAAAATAGTAATGGTCCCAATAACTTAACCAACACAAGTCACAAGTGACAATTTTTAGAAATAGACCAGCCAATTGTCGGTTTAATAATGTTAATCTTTATCCATGCCCATCTAGTGATTTAACATGGCAATGGAAATCCACCGCCTCGGTGGCGCTCCAGGACTCGGCCCTGGCGCCCAGCGCCGCGGTGAGCTGGGCGGCTGCAGTTTGCACATCCAGTTTGTTACCAGTTTGGGATGTTGTCGGGATATTAAAAATATATACATATATATATATACATATATTGTATACTAATCATGTTTGTACATATCGCACATGTAACCATGTAACTGGGTTACGACCACATTCTGTTCGCGCACGCTCACCACCAGGAACTGTTTTTCTCCAAATGTTCAATATAAAGTATTAAGTGACCTTTAGTGTAAAGAGGTGTATCGATCCTCATTCATCTTTAGCACTGCCAGCGTCCGCGCCAGACACAAATGGTTTCTAGCATTTAGCAAATGATTTCCACAATTTAGCAAATAATTTTTAGTATTTAGCACAAATTTCAAATATTTAGCAAATGGTCTCTAGAATTTAGCAAATGGTTTCTACGTGTGCAAGAAATAGTTTTTGGATTTTACAGAAATGGCAAATAAAGAAGCCAACGCACTCCACAAGATGTGTTAAACAAATTCCATAGATAGCATTGGTGTTGATCTGAGTAAAACCCATGGATGTTGCATCTATACCATGGTTATGTGTTTCCATAGATGTTATCCATTGGTAAAATAGTTACCGCCCAAATCGACAACTTGTTTACCCACTTGTAGATAGCCCAGTAACCATAGTTATCGAGTGGATAGCATATTTATTTTGGTAATCATGGACACAATTTGCAAATCCAATAATGTTGTTCATAGATGCTATCTTTGCGAAAATTCCCGGCTGGGTTTTGGAAAATCATCACTTACTAAATCGGCGTTAATTTCAAGATATATGTAGCAGTTTACCAAATGGCACACTGATAGGTAACAAAAATGTTGAAAATGGTTGATGTTACCGACGTTCTGGTAAGCTGTGACATAGATGTTGAAAACCCAAATTGTCCGCCGACCCCGGCCTAGCCTTGGTCTAGGCGGGGCGGCGCCCGGGATCACGTTTTCCTGGCGACATCTCTGGCCAAATGGTGGCAGTTGGAAACTGCCGGATGGTCCACCTTTTGCCGTTTTCCTGGCCACGTCTCTTGCCACATGGTGTTTCTATGGCGTTTCGAACCTGCCGGCATCTTTCTGCACGGCTTCAAAATCCCCCCTGCGCTTTCACCTTTGCACGCCCCTTTTTCCACGTTCCTGGCCATGCCTGTTGCCTAAGCTCCTGCAGCTTCCACCCTTCGCGTTTTCCTGGCCACGTCTCTTGCCAAATGGTGTTTCTATGGCGGTTCGGAACTGCCGGTTTGCTACATGATGCTTCTTTGGCGTTTCGAGACTGCCAAATAGCATCTTTCTCCAGGGTGTCCCCTCATCCCTCTGCGCTTTACCCTTTGCCGCACCCCATTTTGTTGCCAAAATGGTTTTCCATGCCGTTTCGAAACTGGCGGGTGGCACCTTTCTCCACGGCTTCAAAAACCCCCCTGCGCTTTTACCCTCGTCGCGCCCGTTTTTGCGGCAGGCCAGCTGCCGCCCTTACAACGCTGCTGTCCCAATTTAGGTGCATCTGTGGATCTTGGTCCTTTGTCCGCGCGCAAACAAATGAGCTGTGGGAAAGACTGAGACAGTTTGTCAAGCACTGGTGGTTGAGTTTCGACCTGTAGAGAACCATGTGTGTCTGAGCCAACTCGCAATGCGTCGATCAATATGCTGGCTGACCATAAAAATTGATGATTTTACCAACCAGTTGGGTGGGCAAGAATTGGTGGGACACAAGCCGGAGACCATGTTGGCGTGTTCAGAGCTTTTGACGAGCTAGAACAGCTCCAATGGGGTTCTTATTGATGCCCCCGGAGTTTCACATCTGTCTCCACCAAACACCAGCAGTGCCATGTGTAGTGTACAGACCACGACGAGAATTTCACTGACCGTGCCATATTGCTGTGTGCTTCCTCCACGAAGGCTATCGTCAGTTGGTCAGCCCATTGCATCAGTCCCGACCAACCCATCCGGAACTCACCTCCGAAAACGCCACGAGTGCCAATTCTTAGGCACTTCTTTGTTGCGTGCATTTGGCCAGATGTCAAGGGGAAACTGCACACTGCCGGATGTCAATGGGCTGAACAAATGAACGTGCTGCTGAATTCTCCTTGCAAACAAATACGAACACTGGGATTGACAATGAGCATGCCAATCAGCACTACAGCTGCGGCTGCTGCTCTGCTCTTACCAGCACCGAATAGTCAGTCCTGCAATTGACAAGTCAAGGCGGCCTGAGGATGCTGCAAGCAACAGGGCAGTAAGCACTCCGAGAATATGGCCGTCGAGGTCCTCCGGAAGCTCAACGGCCACCTCTGCAAACCCATCTTCAATTGAGGGGCGTGTGCTTTGGACAGAGCATGCGTTCCAGGACCCCCATTAGCGTGTCCTGAAGCCGTGTCTTTTGCACGCCATCTTCATCTTCGAGGGGCATCTCCACACTCAGGATGCCAAGTCCTCCAGGCAGGCGTTCAGGGGGTGCTGAGATCGCTGAGATGATCTCGTGAGCGCTCATACTCTGGTGTTCTTCAAGGACTTTCATTTGTTAACGAGATAAAATCAAGATACCGCAGACAAACAAATTAAAACACAAAATCAACAAACGCTTTCGATCCTCCCGTTTAACCTTGTCTCGTTCCAGATCTCAGAAAGCACTCCCTTTTCATCTGCTGGATGGTGTGTCTCACCGTTGAACCAGGTTGGGTTCGACCATACTTCAATCGAACCATTTGACCAGATGGCATCAACAACCCATTCGGGTCGATTGAATAGAGTTAATGCACGATTGTGCAGTATCGCCAGCTGTGCAGAAATGCAAAGAGTGACATAAAAGTCACCAACGCATTGAAGACGAAGCATATCAAAGCAGAACGTCGACTAGTGACTAGAAAATAACGATCAAACAGAAACGCCAACGCAAAACATAAGCCAATGACTCGAAGTCCCGAAAGAGGAGCATCATGCGAGTCGAAAGTGGTGAAAGCCAGGTGAAACACTGAGATCGGAAGGTCAAAAGACCCAGAAATAAAATTGAGAACAAGGTGTGGGAGGGAGGGAAACAAAAAATGTAACGCACAAATGAAAGTCCTTGAGCCAAAATGGAATTGGGTATACAAAGAAGATCCTTGCAAAACACAATGAACAAGTACATTAAACGTTCTTCAAGGACTTTCATTTGTTAACGAGATAAAATCAAGATACCGCAGACAAACAAATTAAAACGCAAAAACAACAAACGCTTTCGATCCTCCCGTTTAACCTTGTCTCGTTTCAGATCTCAGAAAGCACTCCCTTTTCATCTGCTGGATGGTGTGTCTCACCGTTGAACCAGGTTGGGTTCGACCATACTTCAATCGAACCATTTGACCAGATGGCATCAACAACCCAAGTTAAAACTATCTGGTACAATGTTTATCGCCAAGACACCCCCCAAACAAGAGAGTGAGAACCATTCCAGCAGATTACTAATGGAAATGACGTGAGAGTTTCCACAGGAGTTTGGAGTCCGGTGGATGTAAAGTGGGTTGAGGTGAACAGCGCCAGAGTTGGCTGAGTGAAAGATGAATTCTTTCACCTGGTTGAAAATCATGTGGTATGGGAGTAGAAAAATCCCATCGGCTCAGATCATCCGCAATAACATTGTCTGCTCCTGGAATATGACTCACGTCCAGTTCAATGCCTGTAGTCGAAGCTAGGCACGTGAGGATCTCGACGAAGAGACATAGTGGATGAGTCGTGGTAAATAGTTTGTTGCTCACACTTTCCGCCTCAGTGTTGTCGCTCAAAGACTTCAAGCAAATGGGAATTCGAAACCAGGAAACGAAGTAGCAACCAACCATACCAGTGCTATTTGGGCTAATG